TATTTATACACTTCCAAATTAGCTTTGAGTCAACTCGATTGGAGTTCAGGGCCTTAAGGGCTGCCTGGCTATCTGAAAAGATCTTTATAGTCTTGTTTGCGGGGAGAAAATTAATCAACTCTCTCGCTCCCAATTCTATAGCAATCATTTCTGCTTGGAAGATCGTGGCCAGAGAGCCTAGGTTTATTGATATGTCAACTCTAGGCCTCTGGCCGAAAACTGCTACTCCTACTCCTTTTTCAGTTTTGGAGCCGTTCGTGTACAGCGCATAGTCTGCCTGGAAGAGGGTTTTTCCCCTTTGCTCCATGCGTCTCTCTGGAATGAGGACACTGTATGGCTTTTCTATGTGCTGTCGGGGAACTAGCGAGTCCGAGACCATGCCGAGGATGGGGTGATTATTGATTTCACTCACCAGCCCTGTCTTGTCCCACCGCAGTTCTTCGTAACATTGACTACCCACTTTGAGGAGCCTGTAGGAGACCATTCTGGCCTCCCTTTCCAACACAATGTGGAGAGGGGTTAGGTCCAGCATGGTCTCCATGGCTCCCGTAGGTGTAGTTGACATTGCTCCAGTTATGGCGAGACACGCAAGCCGCTGTATTCCAGCCAGCTTTGCTCTAGCCGTCCGTTGGAGTCCCTTGTCCCACCAGACGACAGAGCCGTACGTAACCATGGGTTTTACCACTGTTTGGTAGATCCAATAGATCAGTTGTGGACTGATCCCCCATGCTTTGCCGCATATCCTTCTGAGTGTCCAGAGGGATAATCTGGCTTTGTTAATGGTTTTTTTCCAATTGGGGGTTCCAGGTGAGTTTCTTATCTAGGGTGATTCCCAAATATTTCACCTCCTCCGCAAAAGGAATGGTTTCCCTAGCCAAGGTAGGTTGTCGAAGCTTGTCGAGCTTCCTTCTCTTGGTGAAGGGGACAATAACAGTTTTGCGGGGGTTAACAGACATCTGCTCCCTTTCGCACAATCTGTTGATTGTATTAAGGGCTTGTTGAAGGATGTTGGAGATCTCCTCTTCAAACTTTCCCCTAATTATGATAACCAGATCGTCCGCATAGCATTGGAAATCCACCCCCTGTCGGGAGAGATCGTCTAACAGGTTATCCACCAGAATAGTCCACAGTAGGGGTGAAAGTACGCCACCTTGTGGACATCCTCTGGCAGGCCTGAACGTGACAGTCTCTCCTTGCAGTGATGAAGTGATGTTCCGGTTTGCCAGCATGCTTTTGATCCAGTTACAAGTTAGTTTGTCGATTCCTCTTCTTTCAATAGAAGAGAACAAAGACAGGAAGGGCGTTGTTAAACGCGCCTTCTATATCTAGGAAGGCACCTAGCGCAATCTCCCCGTGATTTAGGGAATGGCCGATTTTGCCTACTAGATTGTGCAGGGCATGATCTGTCGATTTGCCTGCTTGGTTTGTGTTGGACACATCAGATTTTTTTTTAGTGAACTGATAGAATCTAAAAGAAAGAGATGTGTTTATCGCCCATGTCTACCTCGAACGGATTCGAATACCTACTAGTTATTTTTCATTTCCCAAAGTTTCATAAAGGTATGCAAAATAAATTAGACAATTTAAATGAGGAAAACTGATAGCTATACCAAAGAGTATGCTCTACCTAACAAATAGTTTGAATTTTGATCCAGATATCCAAATTTACCAACGTTATGGGCTACGTTTGAAAAGTACCTCCTGGAGCAGAGTAGAACTAGTAGATTTTTTTAATCATGTGATAATTAATCGAGCTTATGTGGAATAAAAGAACAACTATAGATTTGTTTGTGTTTCCAGTTTCCATTAAAATAAACTAAAATCTTTCTACTAAATCAAATTTGATTTCTCGTCTCCTGGTTTTTGTTGAAAGTTGCAAAATAAACTTCATTTTTAGCTGTTCTCATTTTCGTCTAACATTTTTTGCTCTTAATAACCAGATATGTAAATAAGATGAAAAAGAATAAACTGTGACACAAGAGACAACAGACAACTTTTCAAATGCAGCAATGTTAACTGTATATTATTTATTTGGCTATTTAATCAAAACAATTATTTTATTATAATTTTTAAATCAAATTATATTTATGTACCTATGACAATGTATTTTGTATTTTTTTAGGGTTTTCATGTGGTTAAGAGCCTTTAATTGAGAAAACGTGATTAATATAATATAATAGTGAATAATTACACAAAAGCTACCAGTTGTGTAAAAAATATTTCCAGCCCAGTAGTTTTTCAGTTGGATCAACTCGGAAACGTTTATCTGATAATGTACTTCTGACAATATTCTGGCACACACCCGCAGCAAATGAAAACATTGATCATTCTGAACGAATCTGTACCCTCAACATCTACTACTAAATCCCACGACGATTTTTTTTTCAATACACCAGGTACTAAAAATAATATAAAGGTGCTGTGTTTATGTATTTTTTTTATTTAAATATTTTTTTTAGGTCCCAGCAAAAGAATGACTAACTTTGAAGATTGAAGTGATATTGTTTTTTCCATTTCGATAATGCATGTGCCAGTCCCAAAAATATCCTTCGGTTGGGCCACAATTTTTAAACCAACCATTTGCAGATAATCTCAAGTGGAATTTAAAAACAAAAAGCCTCTAGCTAGAAGACATTCCAATGAATACAAGCAGTTTGCGCTTACCTTGTATTTTTTAGGACCTAGAGCATATTCCTTTGTCTAAAATTTTGTGCCTTTTGCTGTGTATTTTTCATATTAAAATTTTTATTAATTTCATTTTTTTAATACGCGTTTTTCGTATTTTGGTTTATTAAAATTAATAGTCAGTATGAGTACGTGTTTTATTTATAACAACCTTTTTCCTACAGTACTCTTCTTTAAATCTCAATTTAATTCAAAGTTCTAATAATTATGCATCTAAAAATGCAAATTTATGTGTACAATAAATTCATATGATTTATAAACAAATCCTAAATCCAGTCTGGATTTATGGAATACAGCTACGAGGATGTGCCATAATATAAGTTTTCCAAAATAAAGTCCTAAGATGTCTCATTGATGCAGCCTGGCTCTATCTAAATGATATCTTCATACAGACAAATAAGAAAAAGGTTACTGCAAAACATGAGGGTCGACTCCACTCCAACGTTAATGAAGAAGTGCTGCAATTACTGGACAACTCAGCACAGAAGACTCGAAAGAAAGAAAAGCATTTGAGCGAGTGCAGTGAACGTTAGTGCTAGTGTAAAACAGTGTAATAAATTATTGGTGATGCTTTTCTATCAACTAGATTAATTTTGTTTACAAAAATAGAATTGTAAAAAATCACGGATTTATCCACCGAGTTGTCAAATTATTATAAGAGTATGGCGAAGGTCTTATTACAAAGATTGTTTATGGTATTATTGACATATCAGAAGGCTCTAAAACACATAAAAGGCCTTCAAAATTACAGTTGGGAAGTATATTTGCATTTTTAATGCCAGTTATTATCAGTTTAATCTATTTTTCTAGATCCAACTATCATAGTTCGGTTTTTCTTCAATTTGAAATTTTGATGTGGAAATTACATTGGTAGGTACTCACTTTTTAGTATAAAAGACAAATATATATGTAAATGAATCTCTTGTAATATGTTTAATATGTGTATGTTTTATTGAAAAGAAATTAATACGTAATTTTCAAATAGAAAATGTATACCTAACGAATAAACCGCCCTCGCCAGCAAGTGGACATCGTTTTTTATATCGTAGGAAAGTATTAATTTGTATACTCATTTTGTGACTGCTGAAGTAACCACAGTATTTCGGTCGCCAGCTATTAAGATGCTTATACACATTAAAAAAAAAAAAAAAAAAAAAAACCAGTGTCAACTGAACCAATAAAATAAATATTTAATTGAACTATTTCTATCTATTTCCTTAACTATTTTACAATTTCGGTGCTACCGACAGATATTAAAACCTGATTTATAAATCTAGTGTTAAAATGGTGGTAAAGTACTCAATAACGATTAAGTTATTTGGTTAAATTAAACATGTAATTTCGTAATCGCCTAAAAGTGCTGCGTACCTCAGCCTTATGATCTTTTTTTGGCCTAATCAGAAGTTGCTTGGCCTCGGCCGCAAAATTTTGATTCAGCCAAAAAATATCAAATTTACGACCTTGGTACACAAATTACTATTTTAGAACCTTCAAATGGTATATCATTACAAACAACTCTTATTCAAACAATGTTCTTCTCTAAACCTAATTAAAAAAAATATACCTTAAACTAACCCTCTTAAAGTGTACCCCTCCCCAGATGCTCCGACTATGCCAAAATCAAATCAGCTCATCGTTTGAGTTAAATTTAGTTATTCTCTTTATTCGTTTTAAATTTATCGTGGATATAGACACATATACAAACACACGGACATATCGCGAAAATGGTCAAAATAAATTTAGGAAAACAAAAAAAAAAAGGATAATTTCTATACTTTCCTCTGGTTACTGGAAAGTTAAAAAACTTTTATGTTGACCTTCGTCGTAAGGTGAGGGTACAAATGTAGCCTAGAGTCACACTTTTCAGGATATTTTCGTAAAATTTCAATTTTCTGCTTTGCCGATTTAATTTATTGTCAATTAGAACATTCTTAATATATATATTTTAGCGATTTACTGAAACATATCTGATAGTTTTTATAAAAAGAAAAAAAAAACGTGACAAGGGGTACATTTGTACCCCGCCTTTTTTTATGTTTTTCTTAATATAAACATATCAGAGTGACGTCAGGAAGGCAAAAAACTGCATTTATACCTAGGGTACAAATCCACCCACACCATATTCCTTGTATTTTTTTTTAGAACCGAACGACAAAGGTTTAAATCAATAGCAGAATGGTATGTTTTTGTTTGGCTCACTAATGTCACCCTAATGAAAAAATTTTTAAATATCTAAAATATGATTACTCAGAAGACAGTATTATACAACTGAATATTTTATATTACTGTGTTATATTGATTTTTTTAATTCTTACGTGGCTGAGGGGGAGGAAGAGATAACACTGTTGTATTTATTATAGGTGGAGCAAACATTACGACAGGTGGGGCAACTGCAGTTTCCTGATTTCCCCATCGGCTTCTTCTTTTTCGTTTTTTATCAAAACTCTCTTCGTTCTGAAAGAAAAATAATTTTCTTCACACATTTTTCTTTCATATTCACCTTTTCATTTAAATTTTCTCGATAGTTTTTAAATAATTTTTGCTTAATAATTTAAGTTGTCTTACCTGATAGTCATTCTTAATCTGATATTCATTCTTATTCTGATATTCGTTCTTAATATTATGATCCTCTTTAAATTCACACTCTTCCAAAGCCATTTCAGGTTCGTAGATATCCTCTGCTTTGATTATGGTTTCTTTGGCACCTCTAATTTCGTTCTTGATGTTTTTTACACATTGCCGGTATTCCTTGTAAGCTGTAGATTCTTTATCAAATAGGAACCTAGAAAAATTCCAAAAAGGGCACATTCGATTAATTCCACTGAAAGCCATCACGAAATAGAGATGTATGGATCAAGTCCTATTTTGTTTATATTTTTTTCTTAAGCAAATTTAGAGATATATTGGGAGGTGTAAACTAGTTTAAAAAAAAGTAATAAAATTGTTTTACGATATGGCAGTATAAAATTTAAAACCATAAATCTGAATTCAATTTAAATTAACAAGACATAATCGAGTATTTGGTGTCATTTAAGTACATTTTATTGTCAGATTATATATAATTTACAAAATGAAATAAAATTATTTAATATCATCAAGTTTATTCTTATTCACAAAAAAATGTAAAAACATTAAGATAACATGGGCATCGTTTATTAGTGACAATTGCTAACGGCAATTTTGGTTATATTATTAATTTTCTTAGGTTTAGAGTTCAGTATTTATTATGTCAATACAACTTTTTGTTTACATATAGTTAATTTAGTTTTTTTTTTAATTATAAAATATTTATTGAGTTTAAAATGTGTAACGACGTCCATGGTAAGTATTAAAATTATTTAAGAGATTTTTTGTGTATTTTTATTTTATTTTGATACAAGTAAAAAAATACTGATGATTTTGTCAAAAATATGTTACTGCGACTTGCCATTTTCGATTATTGAATTTTTTCAACGTAAAACATCATTGAAATTTCGTTATATATTGAAGATTATATTTAAAAATCAGCAAATAAAAAAAAATAAAACCATATGAAAATTGACGAAAATTATTTTATGGAACTGCCGAATTTTCAACATTTAAAAATGATCATATTTAGGATACATTTTTTAAAAACTATTCTAAAAATAATATTTATCGATTATATTTTTGGAAAAATCTGTTATTTTGAGATGTTATAAGGAAAATAGGATAACTGCATAATCAATAATTATTGAAAAAAATATTAATTTTAAAATAATTTCCTACACCAGTTTAGATTTTTAAAATTATTTTTGATACATAAAATAAGCATTTTCTAAAAATTACACCTCTATGCATGAAAGTAATTGTGATGTTAACCATACCATTCTCACTTAACTAATTTGCTTTCTTTACTTAAACTGCTTATTGTCACTCCAGTAAAAAATATTCTGCATGGTGTACCATAATTTTTATAAAAAAAAATATTCTAAAATAGGTGTCTTTAGATGCTTATTTCATATATACCAAAAACATAAACTCGTTAAGGAATTATTTGTAGTATTCGTCTTAAAATTATGGCAACAATCAACTCCATAAGTTCTTTTGGGGTTAATAAGTATAACTTTTTTTGTTAAAATGACGTTTCTTTGATATTTTTTAATAAAAATTTCAATAATTTAAATAACAGAAAAATTTAACATATATTTATGCTTCAAATGTGGCTTATGTGGTGCTTCCTAAAAATTTTAACATTAATCTGTCTTATTATCAATATTTTATCAAGGCTCAAAACGTAATATTTTGAAGTACAAAATCTACTCTTCATCTATGTACAATTACTAAATGACCACCCTATATATAGAAAGCGCTTTTGGATCAAATAAGGAATATACATCCACAAAATAATGTTATTAGGGTTATTGAAATTAAAAGTTTTTTGGACAAGCAGTATTTAGGAACGACCTTATTTAAATAATAATTTACCTTAAATCTCATGTAATTGTAGTTATTGGAAGTCGAAAATTTTAGTCTTATTAAGTTGATATTTATTTTTAATATAGAAAAATTTATTAGAATTTCCTAATCCAACGTTTATTTTGTATAGTTATATTTTCACAGAATGTAATATAAACTTGCCAGAACACTACAAATGGTAAGGTACGTAAAAATGGATGCAATGTTAGAAGCTAAATAAAGTTTTAAGCAAATACAGTATTTCTGCACAAATAAGGAGAAGCATTAAAGAGTTATCGCCAGTCTCGATCGAATACACTAACCTTATTTTGACAGCTAAGAATGCGTATTAATAATTTAGTAAGAAATAGTGCTAAACAAGAATAGGGTATTTCCTTATTTTTGTAAAATACGGAAACCTCTATAATTGGAATACGGTTACTTACTCTTATATGAACGTTGCTATTCGGACTATTCCGCAAATGTCAAAAGGTGTTTTTAATTTTCAAGTGTGTAAAAGTATGAATATAAATAATAAAACTAGTTCAAAATTAAAGTGGAAAATTTTATTACTGGTGAGAGAAGTGATTCAAAATCCGTTTAAAAATCATAATCGATGGGAAATAAAAAATAATGTAAAAAAAACATGAAAGAGGAAAATAGTTTTCTATGGTGAGAAATCATTTTTTTATTGCAACGGTTAAGATAAAGAAAGATAATAATTGATCCAAGAAAAATAATTTTAATAAGATATGTTTGATCGAATCCCACCGGTGTCAGGGATTTTTATTTAATTAAAAAAAAATTAAATATTAATTCAAATGCATAGGTAGGATTCCCCACTCGACCATTCACTGTTGGGTTCTAATTAACAGTGCTGTTCCTAAAGTGGCGCTGGGAAACAATAAAGCCTACACAGAACACGAGGCTAATGGCCATAGTAGTATACGCCGATGACACCAAATTAAAAAAAAATAAGATATTTGGTTATTACTTGAGTTTTCAATTCTACTTTAACCTGCTAAACCACTCATTTTTGTTTGGACCTTATTCTGAATAAGGTAAGAAATAAGGTTACTGTATTCGTAAAGTAACAAGTGGCGATAACTCTCTACTATTTAATTATGATTTCTCTTATTAAAAATTTCATTTGCGCATGTTTAGATGTCAAAATAAAAACGCCCTTAATACTGCTTAAACTTTAGACCATGGCCAATAAATCTCTATTATCGAAGTTACCGGTCAAGATGAACATTTATTTATTGAGGACATTTTTCTGCAGTGATCTTATTTAAATATAATCGATAAATCGTAAATGTCCTAAATATAACCAGTCCTAACATATTATCGATAAAAAAATCTCCCTTCGTCAATACCAATGTTCTGCATTAAAAATTCTTCAAAAACCAATTGGACTTAATCCATGTATGTATTGTAATGTTTTTTTTTTTTATTTAGACGCAGATCTGCCTGGCCATACCACAATCTCGGATCTTGTTCTTTTCGCTGTCGAACGACGTCCTCGAAAGTATCTCCGCATTCTGCCACCATGCGACCCAGAGACGTCATCGCCTCGTACTCTGGTGTACCTGTGGGGAAAACTTCACAACACGTCACTAAAACGGCCCCCACATAGACACAGGGATGACTTGAATGTTAAATAAAAATTGTTTTGGAATAGGTTTTATTTATACAGGACAAGGAATTTTTTCAGGTCCCATGTGTGATTCTTAATAGCCATATAAGTAATGTTTAAAAGCATAACAAAATACGGCGCATTTCTTCATATTTGTGTCTCTTTCTCTCTGCGTCCTTTTTCCAACACGTTATAATGGCATGGAACCTTGAATTACTCCTCGTTGATCTTATATTCTGTATTTGGATGTGTAGTTCACAAATATTGTTAGGTTACACCTTCTTTTTAAAGGCCTTAATAATTTGAAAACAGAATAATTCGTCATACTTTTTCCTTCTATTTCATTACTTATATTGCTATTAGGAGACACGAATGGGACTTAAAATCCTCCCTATTACTGTATATGTAGTTGTTTCTTATCGAATTTACGCACCACTAGGAGTTAATCAAGACAAAAGACAATTTTAACTCGTGTATCACTCAGGTGATGATGATCGACAATAAATATATATAATTGCTAGTCATTGGAAATATGGGAATGCGAAGCGCCGCGCCATGAAAAATATATAAATGAAAGGAATATGGCATGCGAATTAGTTAAGTCAATGAATACACCGGGGCCACATTTATGCGAAGATTAATTTTGTGTATCTAGTCGAGTCCTGACTTAATTTGAAAAAATCTGATAAAAAACGGATTTCTCATATTTTAAACGCTTACAAACTAATGTTGGTGCGAATTTGTCAGTAAAAGGCAGGAATCGGCTACCTGTACTTAGTATGAACCAACATTTCTTGCCTCCTTTTGGCCATAATGGAGAACGAAATTGAGTGCTCCATTTCGATCAAATTCAAAATAATTAGATGTTATATGGAATTTCAGAGAACATTCGATACGGCCGATGTTTACACGTGATTCAAAATATCTACTTATATTTGTCATTTCATAGCGGTGTCGCGAAAAGAACATGTTGCCAAACTGAAGTGGAGTTTTGATGGCCATAAAGAAAACAGGTAACAGATGGAATGCAGAAATACAACATTGGAAACCATGGCTAGATAAAAATAGCAAGAGTAACATCTCTGATGAGATGGATAGACGATCTTAAGTTTTGAATTGGAAAAGCCAATGTCCAAAGTTGAATTTCTTTTTAACAATTTCATATTATGACAATAAAGAGAAAAAACTTCCATAAAGAATTAAAAAATCAAGACAAAACATGACAGCAAGATTGAATTATTGTAGAGGTGACAGCTGAGAGAGAGAGATGAAATATAAACTAGATCGATGGACAAGAAAAAGAAGATATACAACTAAGCCTGCCATCATCAAAATTGCCGACGCTAGACAAAAACTGGAAAAATAAAAATAAACAGTTTCGTTTTTTTATTATTATTTAAACATATTTTTTGCGATTTATTTAGCAAAGTTTGACAAAATCGACATAAAAAGGGTGAGGATGCATCGGTGGTTGGGTATGTTAGCCGTGCGCGCCAATTTATTGCTTATCATTTATTTAATCGAGTTTCACCCAGACACTTTTGAAACCCCGCCCGGAGGCCCTCTAAACTAGGACAAATCCGGGGAAATCCGGACGGATAGCAGCCCCATATATGCAAAAAGTAGCTTTAGAGCAAAGATATAATGCAGACCAAGACTAAGAAGAAGTTCCAACAGAATAATCGATAAACAAACTAAAAAAACAAAGTGCATGTGAAAAAAGAATCCCAGAAAATTAAACCAACTAAAATAAATGGCAAGAGAAAGAAAATACAATTTCGAAAAAGTTAACCAGTTTGATTACTTAGGAGTAACAGTTAACATTCACAAATCACGAAGAAAAGGAAATAGATTAAATAATTCTGAAAGAAAATATTAAGAGTAAAACACATATCAAGAGCAGTACAAATTATAACACATGAAACAATTGTGAGGCTACTAATTTTATACGCATCTTAAACATGGATAATGACAAAAATGAGGAAAAAAAAAATAGAAATATGGGAAATAAAATGTCTTAGAAGGCATCTGGAGAAGGCGTACAATAAACCAAAATGAACACAGAGAGCGAGATGGTTAGGGCACATTAGTCAAATGTCAGAGCAGATAATTGTAAAAATGGTACTTGATGGAGAGGGTGGGAAGAGAAGAAGACACCCAAAGAAAAAAATGGTTACAAGAGGACAAACGGGATATAGACGAGATGGGAACAATAGATTTGAAAAAATTATCAACGGACCAGAATAAATGAAAAGGAACACTAAAGAAAAACTGAAGCCAAGGTTCTCTAAAACCAGTAGAACTGAACTATAAATTATTTTTCCTGAAGCCAAAATACACACACTCCAAATTATTTTGTATATTATCCGGAACGCAACTGGAAGTTTTTAAACTGGATTTTTTTATTGTTATATTTGAAGCATATCCTATATTATGCAAAACATTTTGAGTGGGTGCATATTGCAGTATACTAACATTTGCATTTTAATGCTTTGATAAATCTTCTAAGGTCGTGCAAATTATTTCCTTTTTTAAATGGGTGGCCAGATTTACAATAAGTATTTTTATATCTTGTAATATTTGAAGACAAATATTTTAGCATATCGAGCGTGGTTTGATTGTTCTCCTAGATAGTGATCAAATTCGAGAAACGATATAAAACAAAAGTTTTTGAAATAAGATGTTTAATAACAATAACTTAAGATTAAGGTGTAAGTATAATTTTTGATTGCCCTTATAATACGCATATGTATAAATAAAATATATTTGTGGAAAAAGGAAAAGTCATCCCTGTTTAAAGTAAAAAGTGCTATGAAAAATTTGGGAAAAAATAGTAATCTCTAATTTAATAACAATAGTAGACATTTGTTATAAATAGTGACGGATCAAGCACTAGTTTGGATTGTTGAATAATACTTGAAATTTGTTTATTAAAAAATATCAATGATTTTTTAAAAGATATCTTTATTAATTAACCATTTTTCATCTTTCAATAGTCAATTGTCATTTGATATATAGGCATAGCTTTTATCTGTTTTGAACCTCTCTGAACCCCACAACACGATCTTTTAGCAACCGTGCTGTGATCCGTTACTAGTTCAAATAATAAATAATACGAGATAAAAAAAATGTTAAATTGGAATAAAAGCCTGTAGACATGTTTAGCAAGCCAAATCAGACTGTGTTATACTTTATTTAGTAATATAGCAATTTTAGCTCCAGTAATTACTTTACATAATTATTTTCTGTCATTTACTTTGTTTCTTCAATTTCAAATATTGTGTATGGCCTAATTAATCTATCCATTTATTTTGCCGGTACCCATTTTAAATATCCGACCATATATCTCTTCTAAATATGTGGTCAAATTACCTAATTATTTGTGACTTACAGAAGTCTAAGTTCCGTAAACTTCACTTTCTTGGGTCTCAATATATTTTTCTTTTTGCTAAATGATTGTTCTTTTAAATTCTATTGATATTATTTTACCTAGGCTTTAGAGATACTACCTTATTATATTTTATGACTTCATTTTTGTGCATTGTGTGACTTTCAATTTTTTTTAAATAGTCAGAAGTATACAATTGAACTACTTTTAGTTTCGCAACGGCTGTTCACAAATATGGATTAGGATGGAAACTATCAAGAAATCTTTACATTATAAAATTAAAGAACAATCCCATCGGACAAAATTCATTTTGAAGATACCAAACAGTATTGTTGCCATACAAACTGTAAGTCTAAATCTTCCAGTCTGAAGTAACAATAAAAAATGTATGTATGTATGTAATCCACATTAACGATGTATTAAAATGTCATACAGATATATGTATAACATTCATTATTCACATAACATCTTACTCTATAAAAATAAATATAAGTATATAAATTAAATTACCTGTCACATTTTCCTCTTTAAAACCAGTTAAAGCTCCTAAAATGTGCACTCCACCAGGAGGCGGCAAATGAATTCGTCCAATCTGACTAATAGGTGGTGGCTGGTTTACAAAAGTAGTAATTTGATTTCCACTATGCATTGGCAGTAATGGCGGCGGGCAACTAACGTTGACATTAACCATACCAGGAGGTGGTAATATTGGCCGAGCCATAAGAGAAGGTATTGTGTTGGAAATAGCGGTAGCAGTAGAAACTTGTCCTACCACTACAGGCAGAGCCACGGTCACAGAAGAAAACGTAGGTTGGACTGTTTCTAGAGAATTAGGAGGGGAAATGTTGTGAATCAATACATTTTGGGTAGATGGCATTGTTATAGTAGCAGTGATAGTTTGTGAATGTGGTAGAATCATTTGATTTTCTTGTAGCAAAGGGGGAGGTACAGACTTGTTAGGAGGCGGTATATTCCTAATAAAATCTGGATTAGAAATACTTTCATCGCCTGGAGTTGGAATTGAAAGTAAATCTAATGGTTTGGGGGTTGGTATTTTATTTAACTGCAGGGAAGTAGGAGTAGGAATATTCTGAACCTGGATAGGAGCAGGTTGTGGTATATTCATAGCATTTAAAGGCTCTGGTTGGGGTATATTTTGAATCTGAATTGGATTAGGTGGTGGAATATTAGCCAACTCAATCGTAGGTAAACAGGGAGGGGGCACTGGTGTAATATTTGTAGCTACCAACGGTGGTGGCAAATTAACTGTTGCCAAAATAGGAGTGGTCGCTAACATATTCTGTGTAGGTACAGTGGGATTTAAAATCAAAGTATTTGACTGAACCAATTGTGGGGGGGGAGGTACATTTAGTAAGACAGGTGAAGCAGATATGACAGTTTCATTTACTGCTGTCTGATCAGGTATGTTTTGATAGCTAACAGTTTGTTTGGGTAAAACATTTTTCAACAAAGGTTGACCTGTAACATCTTGCGTGCTAATACTTAGAGAGGGAATTTCAAAATTTATTTGCGGTTCTAAAGGAGGTGGTTGGACTAAAGACGAACTAAAAGACGTATTTATAGTTATTTTGGGTTCGAAATTCGAGCCTTTATCAAAACGAGACAACCTTTTTTGCTGTCGATCTTTTGGTGAAGGTGATCTTCGACGTGAGGTCCATCTATCTGACTTACTTCTTTCATCACTACAAATATTTTGGAATTTTAGATACCAGGAGTACTTAGATTTATTAAGCATACTTACTTTGACATTTTGTCGTGACGTCCTTTGGATTTATTGAATGATTTGAATTTTGAATCTACTTTTTTGGCTTCTTTCATTTGTCTGAATTGATTAAGAAATGAACCATCATTGCTAAATAGGTTCTTTATGTCACTAATGCTAGCAGGATTGGAATCAGAACTGAAATATTAAATTTGGTTTTTATTCTGGTTATTCAAATATTTTCTATTGTGTGTTTGTCGTTTTTATGATTAAAGATATTCACTATATAGTATGCATAAAATGAGCTCAAAATTTCGAAAATTTTGAGAGAAAAAGAGAGAATGTATTTTATGCTATGGATGTATTAGTACGCATCCGTAAAAAATTCGTTCACAAGTAATCACAGATGAATTGGACTGTGTTTTGCATAACATAATCAAGCGCCATTTTAAAGAATTGAGAAAAATAACTTTTAGTTTTAAGCTTTCTAAAAAAGAAACTATTCATCAGATTGGGTTCATATTTAATATGGAGATCAAAAGTTCTAAAAACAAATTAGTTCAGCAGTTTGATGATAAAATAAAAAATATAGTTTTTTTTTAACAGTGGCGGTTCATTGTTTAAGACATTTGTTCTCCAAGATTCACCGTTTTTAATTATTTCTTTCAAAATAAAGCATTCTATGAAGCCATCATTTTTTTATAGTTAGATTACACGAAATGGCACTTGGTCATGTTAAGCATAAGGTGGTCCAATTGTTCATAAGGGCAGAGAATAGGATTGTAGTTTGAATTTTCAAGAATATTAACAGAAAAAATGAGGTTTTTATTAAATATCTCAGCATCCAGCAGCTAGGAAGATGCGCTTTAACTAAACATATTCTATTAAATAAGAAAACCCGAGCTAATCTATGTAGAAGTCTCGTTATGTATAAAATAGTGTATGGAATACAAATTTATTACCCTTGCTTAAGAGCAATCCAGTCCCTTCTGACGTCACACCGCACGAATATCACGACCTCCCCTTAAAGTATTTGGAACCTTGTTCGCTACATAAATTTGGCAATGTTGTGTGTCGTACGCTGAAGGGTCCGATTACAATTCAGGTAGGTATAATTCGTTGGCTATCGCCGCCTACTGGGGGTTAGTGGCTTGTTAATATACTAGGAATACTATTTTTAAACCAAACAACTCAAATATTTTTTATTTATTGATAGTTATAGATGATATACAGGGTGTCCCGAAATTAGACGGTCATATTTTAACAGCGTAATCTACATCCTAAAATAGTAGTAAAAGTTCATATAAACATAGGTCCGAAAACGTTTCTTTTCCGAGATACAGGGTGTTAAAGGTGAAGTCCTGATACCACACTTTTGTAAATATTTTCTAAACGTTTAAAGATAATTAGGTAAAATTTGTTACAAATACTTACCTTTTTACGCTTCATTTATTGGACTAAATCCCAGTTATTGATCATCTTCTTAGGTGGGTAAATTAGGGGGAGCTTAGGGTAAAATTGCCGTGTGTATCTGTATGTCTATACCCACTATAACTCATGAACCGATACACAGAAAAACACTAAATTTTAAACTTAAGTTTTATTTCGGCCTGACGTGAAATGATTAGATTTTGGACAAAGTCGGAACATCTGGGGGGGTACTTTATGGGAGGCCGTTTCTATATTTTATTGAATATATGTTATTTATGTTTGGAGAAGAAAATTATTCAAATAAAAGTTACTTCTAATATTATTATCTATAATTTTTGCTTTATGTTAAAATTTCCTGAAATGGTCCGTATTCGAGAAATTTGACAAAATGTGCAAAATTCTAAACTAAACTAAAAGTTGTTTGCGATATCGATCTCTATAATTTTTGTTTATACATGATTTTTCTAAAATGGACCGTAATGGAAAAATTGTAGGAAAATTGATAAATTTAAATTTTTCAGTATTTTCGTTTTCAATGAATAACTATAGAAATATTTCTAGGTAGATAGATGTATGTGGAAAATGTATATATTTAGTTTATTCTCTAAACATTTATAGAGGTACTGCAATAAGTTGTACAAAATAACCAGAAAAAGCCTATAATAACTAGATAGGAAAGTCATGTGTTGGACACATCACATTTTTTGACTATAAAATTTGGAAAACCAATATTTTCTGTATAATAAAGCTACATTTGTTGCACCTCGCTAGGACGCGCCATTTTCGAAAGTGTAAACAATAATTAGTAGTTCTGTAGAATTAGAATTTTTTTTTTTTAACTTTGTTTTAATTCCTTCCAGTTTCCCAAAAAAACTAAAAGGGCTTTAATTTTGAAATATCATAATGAAAATAAATGCATTCCTCGACAGCACTATTCTTAATATAATCCCCAAATTTAAGCCCCTAATGTCTTGTTAATGATTTCTTAAAATTCGCCAAAATTAGTGGCTAAAACGATTCGTTAAGTGCTATCTTCTGGTGTAAACTGGTGTAAATTATTGCAAGAAACGAATAATGACAGAGTGTACGATACGATAGTTACAAGCCCGTTACACTGTTTTCCACTCAATTTATTAAAAAAAAAATAATAATAAATTAAGGTGTTAATTTTTTTTCTCTGAAGCTATTGGTTTTGGGAAAAAATTCAAGAATAAAAAAAAATTAAATAAATCAAGGATTTCATAAAAGTTCATCTCGAAAAAAGGTTTGATATGAAATAAAGTAAGTGTTGCTAATTTCACCCCCCTATAATGTAACAGAAATATTGAAAAAATACCCGTGGTTAGTCCTTTGCGTTTACAGAATTTCAAGTTTCTAGCTTTACTGAAATTTTAGAAAAAAAATAACTCAATTTTAGTCACCACTTTTTAAGGGTGATATCTCGAAAAGGGGTGGGCTGAGGAAATTTTGTTATAGGAAAGACCCATCTTAATTTCATACGAGCAATCAGTTCCTGAATTTTGTCGCATGTATTTAGAAACACCCTGTATATTACACATTTTTTTAAGCGTGCAAAATTCTTGACAATCTCTTTTCCCTAATTGGCACATGTCGTATTTTTCTAGGATTTACTAACTCTGGCAGCAAACAAATAAAATAGAAATTTGTCAGCTGTGCATTTTTGCCTTCCAGAATTTTTCATTTCATAAATTAACTAAAAACTAAATTAAACAAAAACCTAACAACGCCTCAACAACAAACTAAGACGATCACAATAATTTCGCACCTCTTCAAAAACAACTACCTATTTTTCGACACAGGAATTAACAAATTTAACTAAACAGCATCAGCTACCCTTTTAACCACGGGCTTCAAAGACTAGCAGCGTTGCCATATTCACTGGTATCATTGTTTTAATAGAATTAGTATCGGAATGAAAACTATGTTAATCTTCGGTCCTGTTTAAAATTGGTAATCTTTTTGAAAAAAAGTTATTTAGAAAATAGTTAAGATATTTGTTATAGAATGCCGGTAAAGAGCCAAAAAATTAAATTTGTTAAAAAGTTGAAATTTTTGTTGTTTTTCTTTAAAAATATAAGATTTTCGCGGTTTAGCGAAATTCTTGGTTCATTTTTACAACGATTGGCCTGAACCATTTTTTTTTACAATTTTTTTTAACTGCCTCAAACGTAAAATTGAATTTTGGCGGAGGAGCGCCCGTCATGTTTGCTCTTAACAGAAATGAATAAAAACAGGCGTCAAATCATGCAGAATACCTGTTGTAGATTTATCAATAATTTAAGAAAATACGACCATATTTCTTTCTTTTTTGCAAGAACACATTGGCTAAAGTTTTACAATGTTTATCAATAGTTATTGCTAAATAAGATGCATAGAATAATCAAAGATTTTTGCCTACCTGTCTTAGTGATAGTTTAACAATAGTTTAATAGTTTAACAATAACAATAATCTACAAATTACAATTATAATATAATAATTTATTACAATTTTTCCATATTATTATTTTGATTTGATGCACCTAGATGCAAGTATCTGTATGTGCAATACAATTAAATAATTAATTAATAAATAATTTTACGTAAATAAAAGGTATAAAATTGATATTATTTAATGAAGGTAAGCATTATTACATCAATTTTGACAAATTTTTATAATATATAACTTTTTAGCATTTTTAAAAAATGATTTTATATTTTTTATGTGTCTTATATTACAAGATAAAGCATTGAATATTTTTGGTTGTAAGAAATTTTTGGTTTCCATCATATTTAAAGTACAGAATATTTAACTTTTTTTTTTGCTTCTGCACCTGGTAAGATATGGGTGATTTATATAATTTTTATTTTTAATTTTAAAAAAGTACTACTTAAGTGAAAATATATTGATCTAACGTTGAGGATAGACTCGTTATATACGAGGATTATTGAAAATAGTCTATTCTTATGATGAATTATTTTGAGAATGTAATTATGTATTATATTTAGTGGTTTTAATGCCTTTTATATAAACCACCTCACATAGTTATTTCATATCTTATTAACGATTCAACTAATGCTTGATATATGATTCTTAACAATTTTTTATTCAATATATTCCGAATAAGACAGAATTTGTGTACCTATTAGTTTTCTAATTTTATTTGCTAAATATTGAATTTAAGGAGTCAATTTAATGTTTTTAAAAAAGTTAGGAGTATCAATGTGAATTTTATTAAATGTTGGCCGATTATCATTTGTTAGGGAAAATGCTATGTATACAGTTTTAGAAATATTCAGTGATAATTTATTCATGTTTAATCAATTTTTAATAATTCTCATCCCCTTGATAACTCTTTCACAGACTCAAATGTGTTGCTTTCAAACAATAGAACTATGTCATCTGCATAAGAAATTGTTACACCCTCAATATCTAAATGTAACAATGAATTAATGTAAACCATAAATAATATCGGACCCAGAACTGTTCCGTGTGGAACTCCTATTTTTATCGTGACCATATCACTATGTTCGTTCCTTATTTTTACTACTAGGTACTGTTTTCTTTTGTTTAAATAGTTTTCAAATACTTTTAACACTATTTCTCTTATTCCATGATAAATTTCAATATAGAACATCAGCTCATGTCAACATAAGAGACACTTAAAATATTGTTAATGCCTATTCATCATACTGCCATTTTTACACGGAATTTCATTTTTAATGGGGTACGTTTTTTATAACATTATCCTTAGAGTTAAAAAACACACTATCCACATATGCCTTTAAATCCAGATTAAAGCAACATCTACTAGATGAACGAATGAATGAATATGTTTATTTAGCCATCGCTTGTGGATACAATATTTTTTATTTACATATTTTTGTTTACATAGGTATATTCACAATTGTTAATTTGATTCTTTAAAATATTTACATAAGTTTTTGTTAAACAAATTCAAATTTCTAGAGTCCTTGATTTCTTTTGGCAGATTATTAAAAAGGTTTACTCCACTAATTAGCAACGATCCCATTAAAAAGGTTTCATTTGAAAAGTTTATGTTAAAATTTTTTCCGATCTTAAATATCTAGAATGTACATTTTGACGTGTAACTAATAATTCGCTTAGATATTTCGGCGTTACTTGGTGCATCATTTTATAAATTATAACTAGGTTTGCCTTTTTAATAATATGTTCAACAGAAAGCCAATTTAGGCTTTGTAGCATGTTATTGATTGGAGTGTAAATATTACTTTTTAGGACAACCCTCATACATTTATTTTGGAGTACTTAAGTCTGTTTACTTGTTCCTTATTACATGACAGTAAAAGCGACATACAAAAGTTAAAGTGTGGATATATAATTGTGTTGCAAATAAGATTTCTACTCCACTGAGATAAATTTGAAGCTGTTCTTCTAAAAATCCTTATTTTCTTCCCTAATTTCCTACATAAGTAATCATACTGATGAAAGTCAATTGGGGATCTAAAATAACTCCTAGGTATTTAATCGCATATACCTTTACTCCAATAAATATAATAAAAAATTGAATTTTTAATAAAAAGTTAATTTTAATCTTTCATTTATTTAACGTAGAAAATGTAATTCGAATATAAAAAAAAGAAGCCAGGCAAACATATTTTTTAGTTGCAAATTATTTTTTTAAGTTTTTATAAGTATTTACCTTCGAATTTATTTCTGTATTTAATTTTTTGTTTTTGAAAATTTTATAATTTGTATACCCTATTAATTAACTGTAAATGAGTTAAATGTAAGAGTAGTCATAGGCTAAATCTCTCCCTATTGTGTACTTTATTTTTGTAATTTATAGGTATTTAGTACAAATAAAGACATTTATTATTATTATTGGTGATTAGTAGGCCCATGTTTGAGCTCTTAATATCAATTTTAAGTACTTACTATTTAAATTTAAAGATTTACCATTTAAAATGCATGTAAATTTTTTTTTTTATTTATAATGCTTACCCACCTTTTACAATATTGCAAATCTGTTTGATGGACCCTGTGGGGAATTTCACGCTCTTTGAAATTATATTCATTATGAGTGAGAAATCATAATATTTCTAAGAAAGTTTTTAGTGTAGGGAAATATAATAGTAATCAATAGAAAAAAATTAATCTAAATAACATTACGAGTTAGTATTTATCCATTTTTTTTCATTTTCAGGTATAAAAATGGCTGTAAAATAATTAATTATTGGTTGGATAACTTTCTTTTTATGAGTCAGATCTTTCTTCTCTCTACTTTTGGCGCTTTGCTCGAAACAATTGAAAAAATTTTTTTTTTCAAAAACTACTTTGACGACTCCTACTGGTGAACCAGTGTGAGTTACACAAAAAACTCTGAAGCAATTTCAAAGAGCATGAAATTCCCCACAAGGTCCATCAAACCGATTTGCATTATTGTAAAAGGTGCGTAAGCATTAGAAATTTAAAAAAAAATTTACATGCATTTTAAATGGTAAAACTTTAAATTTAAATAGTAAGTACTTAAAATTGATATTAATACATATGTTTGTTAAGCCTACAATGTCCTGTTAATAGACCTGCTAGTAATCTAGTATTTTTCCTATTAAGACTTAGTAGATGCTCTGTGAATTTAGGCGATGGTGCTTTTGAGAACTCTTTAGCATTACTTCTATAGCTGCTGTTAGAATCGTTCTCACAGCTCCCATGGTACTCAGGCACGTTTGCCTTTGAATATCATTAAGCTGTCGAATGGCTCCAGCTTGCCGAGCCTTTCCACCATACCAGTGACCCGTAGGTTATCATCTGTCTTATGACTCTGGTATATAGCCATAGGGACATTTTCGGTCGTAATCCCCAATTTTTTCCACACAATCTTCAACATAAGTTGAAGGATGTTGTGCTCTTTTGGAATTAAAATTGAGGTAAGTAGATAGATTTTCTTTAGTTTTTTTTTAAGATAAATCTACTTATTCTCCTTTATTATTAGTATTAAGTACTATTTCACTTATATTCTATACTCTTTACTAGGGCTCGGAATTGTATTCGGATAATTCGATAATTCGAATATTCGAATACTCAAAATTCGATATTTTTAGATCGAAATTATTCGAATAGTCGAATATTCGAATAGTCGAATATTCGAATAGTCGAATAGTATTCGAATATTCTAATGTTTGAGTATTTGATTATTTGATTAACGTATAATTCATACCTGTTTGTTTTGGTATGATGCTTAGTTCTTAATTGATTCCACAAATTACTGGTATTACTTCTGTGTATGACATTGTAAGTTATTAATTTACACTACACACGATTTTCTTTTTTATCGAAGTAAAGCCAAATCTTACTGCGTTCCGAACTCATATTTAACATCTGTATCGGACAAACGTTGACTGACAGACATACACCCACTAATATGAATAAAATAACTAGTAAGTTATAACTTAACAAACATAAACAAGCGTGTGAAAAGTGCGAATGTCAGACAACGTTGGGGTTTTTCTCATTTACCAAATAAAACGCTAGCACTACAAGGAAATAAATAAATAAATACATTGTTGCCGTAACGTATTAGTCCCGAATCTCAAGTCAGAATTTTGTTATTCATTTTTCTTCTACCTTTATTTTTAAGAAATAGATAAAAAAGAAATATTTAAATTAGGTATATAAATTAATTCAAAATATATATCCGAATATTTGAACATTTACAGTATTCCGATATTTAAGTATTCGAATAGTCAAATATTCGAGTATCGAATACCTACCTAGTTCAATTAGTCGAATATTCGAATATCGAGTATTCGAATATTCAACTATTCGAATATTCGACTATTCGACTATTCGAATATTCAAATATTCGAATATTCGACTATTCGAATATTCGAATATTCGAATATTCGAATATTCGACTATTCGACTCTATTCGACTATTTGAATATTCGACTATTCGAAATATTCGAATAGTGAATAATTTGGGTATTCAAATAAAGTTTCAAACGAATATTCGAATACAAAAATCTGAAAAATTCCGAGCCCTACTCTTTACCTTAGTCTGTAAATGAGGAAACCCTGTAAGATATTGTAAAATAAATAAATAACTAGTTTCAATTTAAACCGTATTTTTGGATATTTAAAAAAAACGTTCCCCCAAGGGTGCATGCAGATGAGCTTACTTTACATTCATACAAAGAAATCAATATCTACGGCAGGAAAAAAAAATAGGTCAGACGTAAGTATTTAATTGTTACTCAAAGTTTCTATTATCGCATTAATTTAAATAGATTTGTGTACTTTGTATATTAGATTACCTTTTGGCACACTGTTTACCAGAAGTATCACTTTTTGTCTTATTTTCTACATTGGCATTTTTGTCCTTAGCTTCCAGTTTTGCTTGGATTTCCTTTTTCTTCTGTTCTATCAACTTTTCTTGATAAGACATTTGTACAAAACGATCATTTCTGCTAATTTTGGATTGAAACGTACCTTCGACACTTTTTTTAGACATTTTCAAATCTCTTTATACACTTCACCTGGTTCAATTAAAAATATATATTCAATCATTCAGTATTTGTTTCAGAATATCATATACATATAAAATATTTTAATCCGATAAATGAGAATCTTTTTATTTATATGACACGATACGCCATTATTTTGACAATTTGTCAGTTGCCAACTGTCATGCAGGCAGCAGTGGCAGCGCAAACGGGAGGGTAATTTAAAATTTTAAACAAATTGTAATAAAACAAGAATTCAATCAATCTAAAATGTTTAGATTTTATTTTTACGATTATGAAATACAAATAACTAAAAACTAACTAAATAACCTTATATCGAGCTTTGTTAAATGTATGGTGACCTGCAGTTTGTAACTTAAGAAGTTCTTCTTTGATTAACCTTGTAATTTCGGCCTTTGCTTTGCTTACAGCCATATCGGAAGTACTTTCAATAGCCAAGTATAACTTTCTTTCACCTTCTGGTGGATTTTTACCAGTTGGGACATAGGTACCTCTGACGGTAATACCAGCTTCTGAATATTCAGAAATTTGAGCCAATGCTTCTTTTGAAGTAACTCTCCATCTAGCCTGTTGAGGAAAGTCGTTAATTTCAAGTTCTTCTTCATATTTTTTGAAAGTTTGTTCATCATCTAAGTTCCTATCATCATCGTCATCATCTTTTGGTTGATAATTAAGTTTTGTGTTAAGCTTAGCAGCAAGTTGCTCAGCTACAGTCTTAGCTGTAATAGCTGGTTGTGGTCCACTTCCTTTGAGAATTGATTCAGCAGCTTGCTGAGTTGCAAATTTTGTATCCAATGTAGCACTCTTTGTTAAGTTAATTTTTGAAGCAAGTCTCTTAGCTAATTCTAATTTATCCACAGCTGTTACCCCACCTGAAGCAGATAGGGCAGCTGTGTTAATAATACCAATTGGAGCTTTGATTTCCTTAACAATTCTCTTAGTAGCAAACATGCTTTCTATTTGTTGGTCAATGTCATGTTCTAAATCTTCATCATCACTGTCAGCAAGACCAAGTGCAGCTTTCTGGAATTTCTTCTTTTCATTAACAGCTGCAGCTTCTGATTCATCGAATTTGAAACCTTTACCACTAAATCCACCACCTGTATGAACTTTCTTTCCTTCAGATTCTTGTTTAGCTTTGTAACTTTCCCACAGGCTTCTTAAACTTTCAGGTACAGCTATTGCAGCTAATTCAAAGGCTTTTAAAAGGTCTCCAGCATATCTACCTTGTTCTGAAGTAATGAAGGTGTAAGCAAAACCTTTGTTACCTGCTCTACCAGTTCTACCACATCTGTGAACATAATCTTCATAGTGGTTTGGACAATCATAGTTTACTACAAGTATTAATTGTTTAACATCTAAACCACGAGCTGCTACTGATGTTGCTATAAGTAGTTTAACTTTACCATTCTTGAAATCAACAATGGTCGAATCTCTATCAAACTGATCAATACCTCCATGTAAACTCATGCAGTTATAAGCTGCTTTCATTAATTCTTTGAGAAGAATATCCGCATTTTCTTGTTTATCTACAAAAACAATTATGCTACCAAGTTCTTGGTAGATTCCAAGAAGTTCTAATAGTTTTAAAAACTTCTGATCTTCTTCTAAAATAACTATATGCTGTTCAACATCTTTGCAAACTACAGATCTTCCACCAACTTGTACTTCTATTGGTTTCTGTAATATACGCCTTGCTAGTGCTTCCATCTGTCTAGGGAATGTTGCACTAAACATTACTGTTTGTCGATCAGGTCTTACATTGTCTATTATTCTCATCACTTGAGGTTCAAAGCCCATATCAAACATTCGATCAGCCTCATCTAATACAATATAAGTTACTCTTCGCAGGTTGGTTACTTTTCCACTATTTGCTGCTAACATATCAATCATACGACCTGGAGTACAAACTATTATTTCAGCTCCTCTCTTTAATTCTGCTATTTGTTCAGAGATTCCAGTTCCACCATAGACACACACGGCATGTAAGTTTAAACTTTTTGTGAATTTTTTAATATCTTTGCCAATTTGCATGCACAACTCTCTAGTTGGTGTCATGATAATAGCAATAGGACCATCAGTATCTTCTAATGGAGGTTGGTCAAGAATATGTCTGAACATTGGTAAGAGAAAAGCTAAAGTTTTCCCACTTCCAGTTTTTGCTATACCAATTAAATCTCTGCCAGACATAATTGCGGGAACTGCTTGGGCTTGAATGGGAGTAGGTTTTTCAAAATTTAGTTTTTTAAGAATATTTAATTCTTTGGTAGAAACTCCACATTGAGCCCATGTTTTTATAGGTTTGGGACATCCTTTGCCCTTAACTCTGATACCTTCTAACTCCTCTTTGTAAGCTTCTACCTCTTCATGAGTCATTTTAGCTATTTCTGGAACTTCAACATAAAAGTTCTTTCTAAAAGGTATGTATATAATATTATTGTGATCTATTTTAGCAAGCTCTTTCTTTTGTTTATTTGCTATATTGGCAGCTGTATCTTTAAGATCTTCTTGTTCTTCTTCTGAAGAATATTCAAGACCATCTTGATTCTGTTCAATCAGCTCGCCCTTCTTGACATTACCTACAGATTTAGCAACTCCAGTCACAATGACAATAGAACCTTTTTTCTGTAAAGATTCACCAGGTTTTTTTAACTCTGTTTTATTTATTTTTCTAACTTCAGCTTGAACACCTTTCATGAATTCATCGAGTGAATCTACTTCTTCCTCTTCTACTATTTCTTTTGCTATGATTTCATCTTTAATTATTGGTTCTACTTGAATGAGCTCAATGGGGGGTGTTATTGTTTGTTCATCCATTATTAATTTGTCTTCCTTAATATCAGTTTTATCCATTTTATCTTCATCTTCAGAATCATCTTCTAGGGACCATGTCTTGTTACTTATAGCAACTGGATTACTGTTACTACTACTATCTTTTTCCTTCTTTATGGTTTCCTGTTCCTTCTTTTTCCTTTCAGCTCTCCATCTCTCTATTCGTTCTCTTCTTTTTACCATCTCCATTTCTAATTTCTTTTGTTCTTCTTCTTTATCAAGATTTGCTGGGTCAAATGATAGCCCACTATCTTCAGTTTTTATCTTTTCTCTTGAACGAGATCTTGATTTTCTTCGAGAAGACTTAGTGCTTTCATTTCTTCTGTCTTTTTCTCTTCTATCTCTATCACGATCCCTATCTCTACTATCGGGTAGTCTTTCACGGTCTCTTCTATCTCTAGACCTGGACCTACTTCTACGCCTGGTCTCTCTTTCCCTATCTCTAGATCTGCTTCTCCTATTTCTGGAGGGTTTTGCTCTCTCTTTGCTTTTGGATCTGGATCGTCTTCGTTTTCTCTCCGGAGTCCTACTTCTTTCTCGAGTTCTCACCATGATAAAATATATCTAAAGAATATAAAACTAATGCAATGAATTACATTTTATAAATAATAATCTTAACTAACCTCAATTTTTGACTTGTGTACTTCTCCACAGAACTACTTCTCTTTCTCTTCTCTCCAGTGTTGCCAATACCGAAGAATAGAGATGGGTTGCTTTTTAGTAAACTGCTATTTGACAACTGTTATTTGAACTAAGCAGCTTTCAACTGCTATCGGCTATTACAAATCGCTGCTTCTTAAATAGCAGTTTACCATTTTCACTAATATTTCGATTTGAGATACGCCGATCTTTGTGACTATGTTGTGAGTGCATGGTGCGCGTGATGCGACGATGACAATGGCAAGTTGCTGATGCGAATGTCGTATTTTATACGTGCACTACGGATGTTTATGTTTTTCTGTACAGTAACAGTTATGGTTAGACCAAAAATGCTGTGCCCTCTTACAAATATTTTCAGCAAATAAATTTGTTTTAAGAAAATAACTCACAACACAAAACTTACCTCAAAGAGGACGTGATGGCATACAAAGACTAATTTTTTAATTGTTACCATACCCGTTGTCGTCGATTTATTCTGACAATTTGGGGAACCACCGGCACAGGTTGATATTTAACTCGACATTATAAGACAGCTTAACAGATTTGAACGCGATCACCGATCGACTAGTAAATAATGAAATACCGGTAAACACTTAAGCAGAGTAGTCGAACTACATGTTGCGATGATTTAATAAACTGCTATTAAAAAGCAGCTATTTGAAAGCTGCTTTTTAGAAAAAGCAGTTACTGTTATAACTGTTATTTCAAAATAGCAGTTTTGCCCATCCCTACCGAAGAAACTAATAGGTGCGTTTTAATCATCCGCTTCTGCTTCGGAAGTGTCGGTTTTCTTGTTTTAGGGCCCTATTCAGTAATTTATCGTTTATGGACGACATCGTTAAGCTAACGACAGTTCAACCAACGACTTTTATAACGATAATTTTTGAAACTCTATTCAATAACAAAGTCGTTACCAGGGCTGGTATATCTAAGGGGGTCGCGACATAGGAGTCCATTTTGGACGCCATTTTTTTCGAAATAGTAGTCGCCATTGATCTGGCAACGTGGCAACTTGTAGTCGCCAGGTTTACCAATATAAGAAAAAAAATCAATGTCATTTCTTAAATGACATTTCCATTATAAAATGCCCATATTTTTTAGGAAAAAATATTTCAATTTAATAAATTATTAATCTCAGATGTACATAAAATACGTCGGGAAAAGTAGATCACTTTCAATTTGGTGCTGTTTTAGTTTTGTTTATTTTAAAAGGTAATTGAAGAGATGACAATTTTCTTATAGATGATGCATAACAAATTATTGCTCCCTTTTTTAGAGCTCCTGTCCCTTAAGTCTATTTATTTTAGGTCTTTTTAAATTGTTGGTAGGTATTATTCACTTCATTTGTATGTTTTTAGTTAATTTAAATAATTTTGTGTAATATCTTGCGATTTGTTTTCTATACATTTTAGCATGTATTTGTTGTCTACATCTTACAAAGGATGGATTTGAAATACCTTTACAACAGAGGTACTTTCCTAAAACTGGCCGAAATTTGAAACTGAATATAGTTCTTAGAGAAAATCTCCAGTAAAAAATGTCTGCATGCAGAATAACAGTAGCATAGATTAACAAAGCTGACAAAAGAGTTGGACAAACCTTTGTCTAGCTTTTTTAATATTTCAGGACAATAGTGTTAACAGCAGACTACAACAAAAACATCCAAAGTTTAGTAATCAAGCAAAATATTCCGGTATCTATATTTTTATTCAAAACTTTTGTGCTTCTACTCCAATACTAAATAGAAGCATATGCATTTTATAGTATTTGCAAGATTCGGATCAAATGTACCCACAATTTATAAAGATTATTAAACTAAAATAAAACATTTCAAATAACACCTATTAAATACATAAATTAGTCTCAACCACACATTTTTTTTTGTTTTTACTTCTAGTGTAAAAGTGACTACTAATTCAGTCTTTCAAGTTTATTATTTATAGAGACCAGCTACTACAAAATATCTTTTTGATAACTAATTTCTCTTTAATAATGGTTTTGCATTTATTAACATTTTACAGCACTTTGTTTATATGAAACCTCTATTTAACTCTTAATTAAATCACATTTAAATCAAGTAATTACATTTTCATATTCAACCTATGTATTCTTATTAGAACTTGGTCACTTTTTTTTTACTTTGAATCTTTTGACTGTGGTAACAGTCCATTCACCAAACCACAAAGTCACTTAAAAATGTTGAAAGAGAATGTCATAAAGGTAAAATTCCTTCTTCTATCATGTTTTTCATGCAATTTTAGGTTGTAAACGTTTTGTCCAACACCTTTTTTACAATTTATCCCAAGCAACACTATGAAAGATTTAAATCCTGGATTTACAGCATTCAGTTTTGAGATGAGTGCAATCACAATGTAGTTTAAGAGATAATTTTCACATGAACACTTATTTACCACAGCACAAACGCATGTACCTATTCATGTAACATTAAACTAAAGTGGAAACAAATTGCATAATTTGGTATATAAAAAAGTAAAAAATGTTTTTAGTTTTAATTCGACATTGGACTACGAGGAAAACAGTGGTTCATTCCACTTGTACCATATTGACATTATTATGCACGATGCTCGTTCAAACGAACGTCAGAAAAGTGTTGCCAACTTAAGCTGACTACTATTTCCCCCCTAGCCTCAGTCACCCTCTCATCCATTTACTGGGTCTATGTCGCGACCCCCTTAGATATACCAGCCCTGGTCGTTACGTTGTTTCTAGTTACCAAATCTGAACGATGATTTCTAGTAAGTTGGTATTATAATTTAGTGTTTTGTGATAAAAGAACGTATGTTGATGATTATACCGGGTGTTTAAATTAAAGTTTTACAGTTATATCGCCAAAAATATGCATTTTATAAAAAAAAGTATCAGACAAAAGTTTTATAGTTTTTTAGGGGAAACATTTTGGCTAAATTAATTTTTTTTATAGCTGACCATAATATGGCCATATCGAGGTGGATTTTTTTTCAAATTGGAACCCTATATATTTTTTTATATAGGTATTCTTAGAGTTCATAAAAAATAAGAAACTTCTAAGGACCGATTCCACCGTTGTGTTAAACGAAGTTTAAAATTACATTTTTACATTAACAATGTCATTTTAATCTCCGTTTAACACAACGGTGGAATCGGCCCTAAAGGAAATATTTTTTTATTGGATTTCTACTTATTGAGTAACACCTACTTGAAAATTTTTCTGCGCGAAAAAAGTTGGCCATATTATGGTTTGCTATAAAAAACAATTTTAGCCAAAATGTTTTCCCCAAAAAACTATGAAACTTTGTTTTTTTGTCGCGGTATTTAACTGTAACCCTTTAATTTGAACACCCGGTATATTTGACATTTTTTTGGAACATGAAATAAAAATTCTACCAGTAGATATTTTAATTTGTTTTTAAGAATATATTAATTATTGTTCTTAACCTACAAAACGATCAGGGGGTCGATTCTCGATTCGTAGGAATTCTGTTTCTCGCGGGCCATTTTTGCTGGTCGTATTGTATGTAGGGTTTATTTAAATGAGTATGGATATATTAAAAAAAAACAGAACTATTCCAAAAGAATACAAAAAACAACTCGAGAACAGTACAAGTTGTATTTATTGGATTTGAAAGACAAACCAAATTTGTGTAGGTTACGCAGAAGTATTATAGGTACTTTCATAATATAGGTTTTGTTACTATTTCGCAGTGCTACTTTAGGAACAGCACTGTTAATAAGAATCCAATAGTAAATGGTTGAATAGGCAATCCTAACTTTGAATCTGAAGATTTATTTTTAAAATAATTAAATAAATTAGAAAAAAATTCCATACAAATTGTACTTGCTGTATTAGGTAGATGGCAATTTAGTTGTAAAATTTGTAAAAAAGTGCTTTTATTATTTAGAACACATCCTGATTCACAATGAAAAATGAGAGGGAATGCAAAAATCACTATAACGACACTTCATATTATTAACGACAGCTCTTTGGCTATCGTTGATGAACGACAATTTTACAACCATATTTGTCTATTTTCAACGACAATCGTTGTCTACTGAATAAGAAAAGTCGTCTGTGAACGATTATCGTCTATTAACGACGTCGTTCAGAGTTACTGAATAGGCCCCTTAGGGCCCTATTCAGTAATTTATCGTTTATGGACGACATCGTTAAGCTAACGACAGTTCAACCAACGACTTTTATAACGATAATTTTTGAAACTCTATTCAATAACAAAGTCGTTACGTTGTTTCTAGTTACCAAATCTGAACGATGATTTCTAGTAAGTTGGTATTATAATTTAGTGTTTTGTGATAAAAAAACGTATGTTGATGATTATAGCGGGCGTTTATCGCCAAAAATATGCATTTTATAAAAAAAAGCATCAGACAAAAGTTTTATAGTTTTTTAGGGGAAACATTTTGGCTATATTATTTTTTTTATAGCTGACCATAATATGGCCATATCGAGGTGGATTTTTTTTCAAATTGGAACCCTATTTTTTTACATACCTAGGTATTCTTAGAGTTCATAAAAAATACAAGAAACTTCTCAAGGAAACATTTTTTTATTGGATTTCTACTTATTGAGTAACATCTACTTGAAAATTTTTCTGCGCGAAAATAAGTTGGCCATATTATGGTTTGCTATAAAAAAACAATTTTAGCTAAAATGTTTTACCCAAAAAATTATTAAACTTTGATTTTTTTATAAAAGGCGGTATTTAACTGTAACCCTTTAATTTGAACACCCGGTATATTTGACGTAAAATAAAAATTCTACCACACGATCAGGGGGTCGATTCTCGATTCGTAGGAATTCTGTTTCTCGCGGGCCTTTTTTGCTGGTCATATTGTATGTAGGGTTTATTTAAATGAGTATGGATATATTAAAAAAAACAAAAAACAACTCGAGAACAGTACAAGTTGTATTTATTGGATTTGAAAAACAAACCAAATTTGTGTAGGTTACGGAGAAGTATTATAGGTACTTCCATAATATAGGTTTTGTTACAGTTTCGCAGTGCTACTTTAGGAACATCACTGTTAATAAGAATCCAATAGTAAATGATTGAATGGGCAATCCTAACTTTGAATCAGATTTATTTTTAAAATAATTAAATAAATTAGAAAAAAATTCCTTACAAATTTTACTTGCTGTATTAGGTATATGGCAATTTAGTTGTAAAATTTGTAAAAAAGTGTTTTTATTATTTAGAACATATCCTGATTCACAATAAAAAATGAGAGGGAATGCAAAAATCACTATAACGACACTTCATATTATTAACGACAGCTCTTTGGCTATCGTTGATGAACGACAATTTTACAACCATGTTTGTCTATTTTCAACGACAATCGTTGTCTACTGAATAAGAAAAGTCGTCTGTGAACGATTATCGTCTATTAACGACGTCGTTCAGAGTTACTGAATAGGCCCCTTAATCTGACAGGTTAAAACGACTAAACCGACAATTCCGGAAGCAGAAGCGGATTAATAAAACGCACCTATTATATGGTTTTGACATGGCTGCGTTCATCCGCGCCACATGCTACCTGATCGATCTGGTAGCGCTCTCGAGTGGCACGTATGAACGATGTATTTTGACATTTCGCTCAAGGAGCGGCCGCCATTAAAAGTAGCGCATTTTATTTACGTCTGATCGGTGATCACTGATCTGTCTTACGCACTTACGTCCACGGTTTGCTTGGTGACTAGTAGGGTTATATTAGCATATTAGCAATTGAAAAATAAACAAACAAATCTTCAACCAGAGACATTCAACTCAAAAGTAAAATGAATAAACCAAAATCAAATGTCACTTTTAAACATGGTTCATCCGTGCATAAAGATCGATCAGGTAGCGTAAGTGATCGCTACTTTTGTAGCGCTCCTTGAAATGGCGCGGATGAACGCAGCCATTATCGAAAGCTGATATTGACAAATGTCTTCAACCTTTAAATGTAAAATAGCCTAAACTAAAAATTCGTTTTTACCTTACGTGTATACCATGGTATGTAAATGGCATAAAAGGAGATAAGAAAAACCAAAAAGTAAACTAAAAAACAGCTTCTTTAATGTAACCCGATTTCTAATGTCATTAGTGTCAATTTTATTTTGTTAAGTTGGATGCACTTCCCTTGTGGAAGTCCTCTATTGGCGGCAGTGATGCCATTGCTACCGATTAATCGGTAGATCTACCGATTTTGATATTAATCTATACAAGTCTACCGATATACCGATTTTTTAGGCAATCTACCGATTTTTCAAATAATCTTTGATTATATTATACATTCACTTAACATTGCATTTTACAAACTTTCTTAAGACCCAACTCAACTTTTTTCTTAGGTTGGAAAACAATACAAGTTTCCTGAAATAATTAGCGTAAAAATAAAAGAGTGTATTTTACGTTTTAGCTTTTAAATACTATAAAAAAATTGTGAAAAGTCCATAACTTTTAAATATTTGTTAAATATCATTGAAATATGCATTAAAAGTAAAACAAACTATAGACTTTCCACCATTCTTTACCGTACTCTGAACATACACTAGCAATAGGATATCGGGGAATTACAAGCAACGAAGTTATAAATTTGGAATTTTTTACAAAGTAAAAGAAAATTCCTAATTCGATAGTTTTACAGTTTGCAGTTATAGAGTTTTCTAATATTAAAATTTTGTAAAAAATGGCCCTTAATTATTATTTAAGTTTTTTCTTTTAAAAATATTAATTATATACCTAATGGGTTTTGTTTTTTATTTTCTACGATTTTTCTTTTTTAAAAATGTTAGTTAATGTGTGTTTTAGATTTTTTTGTTACTTTTTGTATTAAAAACTTTGTTTTCTACCGATTTTCGGTTGACAGGGCCTGGCAACACTGATTGGCGGTTTCACTTTGACTTTTTTTATTGCCTAAAATGATAGCAAGTGTCAGAGTCGAGAGTAAATTTTTATATTCACTTAAAATCATTTTCGGAGTTACAGGGATAATAAAATCAATCACAGTTAGGATGGTAAGATCCTAATTTTTCTAAAAATATAATATGCAAAAAACGTTTAGTTTTCTTTTGTAACATTTTTTGTAGATTTTTTTTGGATACTGAAAAAGTTACTTGTTGATGGTGTTTTTTTTATATGAAAATGGAATTGGAGTCTCAACTATTAAATAATAACTTGAACATCTTTTCAAACAATATGTTTTATGATATTATTTCTCAAACTTCATATCCTATCAACCATTATAAAAATAATGAGAAAGATAAAACGGACCTTTTGAACACCAAAGGTAGGCACCCTAATATTTAGACAATTTGTTAATGTATTTTCATCCTCAAAGCCTTAGGTTGAGGTATAGTAAGGAACCTTAATATAAATCAAATATTTTGATGTATACTAGTGGAGAAGTTATGTTTTTGTTAAGGATTCATGTGAATATAAATTAATGCATTTAGATGAAATTGATTTAATACAGGATCTTAAATTACTGGAGAATGAGAACAGTTATTTAGGAGTATTGCTAGTTTAGTTCCTTTTTATTTTTTTAGTCTCAGTTAAAAGTGATTTTAAAAATATGAGGTAGTTGTTGCATATTTTTGTGTACATAAAAAAATATATCTTGAGACAATATGTGAACTGAATAAATCTATAACTCCAGAAAAACTATACTGTCAAATAAACTGGGGCATAAATTATATCAGACATATAAGTTTATTTCTGTAATAATTGATGTTGATGAGTTAAAAAAATATTTCTAAAAAAGTTACAAAAATATTTTGTTTTATTTAAGTTATCAGTCAGAATGTAGCAGTAGTTGGCTTCCCAGTTAGTGTGATGCCTCCTCCTCCCCACAAAATGGTCAATTACAATAAAAATGAAATTGAGAGGTACCGGCCTAAATATTCACCACCAAGGCAACGAGACAATTACAGGCCTGTATCTCCCAAGGGATATGATAGTGATGAAAGTTGTACTTCCTATTCTTCAAGAGAGACTCCTCCAGGAACGAGTAAGTGATAGTTATGTAATAAAAACAGAAGAACCTTTTTATTTTAACATCAAGAAAGGAACTACATTTTTTTATTCACTAATTTATGCTAAATCAAAGTTTTCTTTTACTATAATAAATAGTCTGTAATGCAAAATATAAAACTACATTTTGTGCTACTTATTTTAATAGGTTTTTATTCACAGAATGAGCCAAATTATTTTCACGATTATTGAATGTGTTTTACTGAAAAAATTATAGTTCATATTTGTCCGTTTTAGAAAAATTTGTTTATTCCCATTTATATGTTGCTTTTGTTTTAAGGAATACATTAATAAGCTGTATTTTGCTTTAGTCCATTTCAGAATATATTTTGATTCGTTAATTTTTGAAAATAAATTCATAAAGAGTTGCTCACTTCAATACAATATATTTTTAATTTAACAGTATTAATATAATCTTCATTCGATAGGTATATTTTTTCGTTGTTGATTATTACTTAACTTATTTAAAATTTTCTGTTGTTTTGAAAAGATGAAAACCCATTATTTTCTTGTCTAAAATGATCTTATTCGGATATAGGTATTTGGCTTAAAAATAAATTTGTGATTAAAAATGTGTACTTTTTAACAACACATTACAAATTTTCCAAATTTTAAGAGAACCCCACTTTCTATGAATGCAATACCTATTCTAAGTTTGTACAAACTAGAATAGAAATAATTAATTTGTTAAACTAAAATTTACATATTTAGCTCGCAAAAACATGAATGCATTATTTGAAAGATCAGTATGCTCTACTCAAATATACTTCCCCTTTTTGTGAATATGGTTTTTGACTGTCTCTGATGATTTAGATATAGATGTTTTTTCTAGGTTTCAGGAAAAAGTGAGTGAAAATATTAGTAGAAAGATCTGGAATGTATCCAGCTTCCTTACAATAATATGATCAAATAAATATGTCTGGGTTATTTTTCAATTCTTTTAATTTAAAATATTTCAAAGTAATTAATTTTTCTAGAACAAAAATTTTGGAAGTGAAAATTGTTTATGGAGATTTTTGGTTTATGATTAGCACTAATACAGATGAAATTATAAATTGATTTTTTATGTTAACATTTTGAAAGGAATTAGAAGTAATACATTTGAATTTTTTGAAGGGGTTAAATATAATTCAAGAAGTGGATCTAATAATATTAACAGGTTAGATGAGCAAACTATGGTTTTTGGCAAATACAGCCATAGTACTCCCAACGTGTGTCAGCATTCCAACATACAGTATCAAATTAATATACAGCACAATACAAATAGTAATGGTCATTACAACAAAAATAGGTAAAAATTTGTGTCGTTTTGTTTATTGTGGTCATTTTTATTTTCCTGTATTTGGGTTTTTCTTTTGTTGATTATGTATGTTTTGTATGCATGAAAACTTTTTTTTTTATTTTTATATAATTTGGAATTGGAAACATCAGGATGAGCATATTTCAAATATTTTTAATTAACAATAATTTAATTATAATTTTATAAAAAAAACATTTTCCTACATTTAATAAATAAGTTTTAACAGAATTCATTCTACAACAGATCTTTTTCAACATCTGCTAATTTTGTTTGATGTTCAGTAATCTCAAGAGCCTCCCATTCTGCTTTGAAGGGAACTTTAGGGTCTGCAGGCATCCCTGATGCAGCTCCTGTCATTTGCATTTGTTCCTGCATTTGTTTACTTTGATCTGCAGCGTTATTCTCACCCAATACCAAAGTATAAATGCTTCTTAGACCAAAAACGTTCAAAAAATACCAAGAAGCTGATGACACCCAGCTAGCATCCAAATGGGATAACTCTATGCCCCTCTGAAGCATCGATTTGAATCTTAGTGTTAATGGAAAAGGTACCTTTGTGGTTATAAAACCGGAAAACATCCAGTTTATCCATCCTCCTATTACTATCATTGGTAAAACATTGGTCAAATTACCCTTTAACATATCTGTCATCATGGATGGATCTGTCATCATATTCTGACTTACTGCTGGTCGTTTTTGCATCAGGTACCCATCTTCTTTGTTAAAAGCTTGTTTTCTAATCAAAAAAGCATTTTTTGGAATATAGCCAGAGTTTTCTCTTAGTGCTCTAGCTCTTAAGAGTAACTGAGAATCAGCGAGTTGTTGAATTTCTATCTTCTTTTGGCTAGATAATAAAATTGAGGCGTAATGCCTTAATATTCCCACTAAAAATGTGATTACTACGATGGGAAGAAATACCCAGAATCTAATTTGTGGGTCTACTATGAGATCGGCACCCATGCTTGTTGATTTCGAAAATGTGATTAATACTGGATGGGAAATTTAAAAAAATACCTTATTTATTGGCTTATCTCTTGAAATAATTAGAACAATTAAACGTATCGAGGATTTTTTTTTTTAATATTGATTAAATCTACGGATTTGAGATTTGACCAAACCTCAATCTGCCAATCAACACATGTCATTAGTGTCAATGTCAATAGTCAAATTCTTCTATTTCGGCAGGTTGGTACTTTTGTATTATTCAGTTTCGAAGGCCTCTGATATCGTAACGTAGACCGTGACCGTGCAGCCAACGAATAGACAAAAAATAAGCTTATTTTGATTGCATGCTATAAACAGAACATTTTTAAATTTATGTCGTTTATTTAATAATTAATTAGATATACGTTAAAGGTTCGACCCATATTTTATTTGTTTTTTTTACATTGATATCTAGGGTATTTTACCTTGTATTCTGTTTTCCAACGCCACTTTAGAAAGCGCACTTTTTATCATTAGTACTATATAGTTAATGGTCTGTCTACCTAGTCTGAGAACCAAGTTCTAATTAATAAAAACAGTTGGTGTCCACAGAACACTTTGGTGTCTTGGTGATACTTGAACTTGGGACTCGGATTAAAAGTTTATAAGGATCTGACCACTAAGAAAACACCTGTATTTTATTTCGCGTTTTACATTTTGAGTATCTGCATATGACAAGTTTTTTTTCAGATATTACACAAACAGAAATAATTCAAACAACAATAATAATTCGAATAATAATAATAATAATGCTCGACACAAACATGGCGTTTATTACAAAAATAGTATGGATAATATGATAAAACGGGCTCATGGTTTGGTTGAAAGATTTAAATCCAGAGCGGAAATGATGAAGATTGAACCTGATCCTCCTGGATTGACCTTAGGGGGCCCATGGGACCAACTGAATCGAGATATCTGGAATATTTATAGTAGCAAAGCTCAGAAGGAAATCACTTATGAATGCAAAATTAACTCTTGGAAAAATATTTTTTTATACATTAGAGTAAGTCTAATTAAGTTTTATTTGATGAGATATCTTTGTAGTAGATGTCTGTAGGTATTAATGTTGTGATTAGCCGAAAATATTGAAATACAAAATATTTTAATTATTTGTCACCCAAGTTCATATAGTATGGCCATGAAACAGCTTTTCCATCGAAAATAATTAAATATATATACAGGTTGATAATTTTTTATGTCGATCGGCTAGACCTGTCAAATTGACATATTTAAAATAAAATACAAGCTGTTAGAACAGAAGTAAAAGTTGGAAATGCTTTTGCCAGTTCTCCCACTTTATACACATAAATTGACAGGTTGGCACCGGATCTCACCGAAGTGGACGCGATACATCGGCGTACAAAATTATTTTATAGATTTTAATAACAATTTCGAGTAAATAGTTTAATAAATTGTGAATAGCTGTTGAAATTTTGTAAAATTATAATTTGAATATTATAATACATGTTTAATAATTATTTATAATCCATAAATACATGCGATTGTCCGGTTCCGCCGTTAACAATTTAAAATTACTTATTCTATGAAACGACACTGGCAGGTAAACATTACTGTGAAATTCTCGTAGCCGCCCGACGTGGTTTGACGTTTACCCCCTCTCTACCTACCAAAAGACTTTTCAACTTTTACTTTCTCTATACGTGTTGTAAAGTGTAACACTTAATTTGAAAGATATTTTTATTACTAATTCAATGCACTACAAAGCATTATACTAAAAATCTCCATATTGCACTTGTAACAAAATAAAGTTAACAATAATGCAAACAATGACTAATTTTCATACTTTTGTAAGAATAATATGAAAATATATTAAAGTTATGTGGTGCATTGAATTAGCAATAAAATTAGCTTTCAAATAAAGTAACGCAATGCCACTTTCTCCATCAAATTACCTTTTCAATGATTTGTCATCCTAGGTATTTATCTTCTTAAAATCCAATGATTACTGCCAAATAACAGGGTGGACTGTTTTGAGTGGTATAATAATATTTTTTGGATATCGATTATTCAAATGATAAAATTCAAATTTTGATTATCTGATTAATCGATTATCCGATCAAGCAATTATCCGAATAATCAAAATTAATTGATGAAAATTATCGATTAAAATAAAATCAATTAATCGATTATTTTGCCCACCCCTAGTAACTATATATCTTTCAAATTAAAATTTTCAAATCAAATATATTTTAGCTTCTCATTAAATTGAATAAATTTTTCCTTAGAAAAAAATTTGCTGTAAAAATCGAGTGTTTTCACACAATCCCGATAGGATTTAAAAAGTTCAATTCATTATGAAAGTAACACATCAAAGATTTATGCGAAAGGTCAATGTGAAGTGTGTCAAAAGGGTTGGATTTAAAAAAATCAATTAATTGCCAGAGTAACGTATCAATGATTTTTACAAAACTTAAATGTGAACTATGTCAAAAAGGTGACAAAAAAATTGACAAAAAGTCGTTTTGGTTATTTAAATATATATTTTAAATACAGAATCGACTTCATCTTATGGAAACAAAGCAAATGTTTATAAAACTTCTGTTTATATTGTTAAATAATCTTTTCAAATACCGCCCAGAGGAATTTTTTCCTTACAAATTATGCAAATTTCACTCTACAAAATCCTCCCTAAATATCACTTGACTCACGTCTCGTGGTATTTTAAGGAGGATTATGTTTCTTGAAATTGAGACGCAAAATTTCCTAAGAAACACCAAAATGTTCTCAAAAAATTCTCACCTCTTGAGGTAATATCCTTAATAACGAATTTCAATTTCCAAAGAGCACGTTATATATGGTGTCTAAAACCGATAAATGACATGAGCATTTAATTTAGGCAAGTTGCACAGTTTATGTCTCACATTCTTGAGTGGAAGCACAAAATTCTTAAAACCGTAATTTTTTATATTTTTAGAAATGTTTAAGTAGTTATGGTTTGTTCATGGTGGGTTCAACCATGTCTGGTTTTGGATTAGAGAGTAGCGATATCGATATGTGTTTATTGACAAAGCCATTCACAAATGATCCTCGTTTAGACTCTTTGCACCATCTGAATGCTATCAGGCATTTGTTAGTCAAAAATGGTAAGTCATTGATAATTGTTTCAAATAAAGTAAAATAGAGAACCAATAAAACATTCACAATTTCAAACTGTGTCATAAATATTTATTTTTCAAATCATTACATAATTAATTTGTTATTAAAGATTTGGAATTCCAGATGAAATCTTATTTGAATCGGTGATTTCATAATGGGCATATGAGAAAATATTTTCGTTTCTAATTTAAACACTAAATACTTTCAGTTTCTAGATTTTTACATTTTCGCCACAGTATACAGGGTGTCACTTTATACATTTTTTAATGTATTGTATTAAAGTAACAAAGCCTATTGTGGACACCGTTTTACTGTAGCTGCTAGAGTGCTCTGTATTGTACTCCTTTTTCTGTGCATAACGTCATAACTTTTCTAAGTGTACTTCATGTCTTTTTTAATATAAAACATGACTTCCTGTACTTTTATAAGCAAAAAGGTACCCTTTTCAAGATCCATCAAATTTGCCATTTCTGAGATATTTGACTTTTTATTGTTTGATGCAACCTAGAGTGACAGCTGTTGAATCAATAGATGAAATTATATTATTAGGGGCGCTTATAATGAAATAAGAACATTTTTAAGTAACATGTACGTTCAGTTATTCGTTAGTATGAATTATGTATAGAACACAATGGTTCACATTTTGACCAATTTCTTTAAATTAGTTTTTTGTTACTATTTTTTGATATATTAGATGTATCTATTATTATTAGATCTGTTTTGACCAATCCGGTTTTTCTTTCTTCAATTGATCTAGTTTTTGGAAAATTTAGCCCGTTAAAAACAATGTCTTAAATATAAAGTACACCGAGAAAAAGTTATGGTCATTTTAATTAGTATAAGAGTACAATAAAGCGCCCCCTAGTGGCTACGGTAAAACGGTTTGTTTTTAAAGCAATACGTTAAAAAATGTTAGACTATCAATAAATCAAATCAAAAGTTCAATAGAGTGTTAAAGTCCTGTTACAAAAAACTGAAATACCCTGTGTATCATATAAGTGAAATTTTGTGAATGACCAAATTGCAACATCTATTACTCCATACCCGTCATAGAAACATTTTTCTTTTTATTAGTTGGTTCTTGGAGTAGTGTTAATTTTGTGGTTGTCTTTCAACCTTGAAGAGTGTTAAAAAAATGACAAGATAATATTGAATTGCACAAACTTTTATATACATATACATGTATGTAAATATGTTGATTGCTACATAATATTATTTGAAATTATACCCTCCATTCCTAAATTATTTGAATAAATTCTTACTGATGAAATAATTGCTTCCTTCGAATCTTATATCTCCCCCCTTTCAAAATGGATTTCATCGTTCTACCGCTACTAACCTTTGCTGTTTCCAGGACTATATGATAACCTCTGAGGTAGCTGGCCTCCAAGTGGATGCAATTTACACCGATTTGTTGAAGGCCTTAGTATTTCTCACCAACTGCTTTAAAAAAAAGTCTCTGAAATAGGTATTGCTGGTAACTACCTCATTTGTCTAAAATCGTATCTCGGAGAGTATCAGTTTCATCAGACGTTCCGCAGGGCTCACAACTTGGTCTTGTCCTTTTCTCATTTTTCATTAACGACGTAATTTCCTATTTTTTAAATAGTACTTATCTTCTATATGCCGATGATTTAAAATGTTTCAGCACAGTCACAATGTGATCTAGAGATAATAAATTAGTGGAGCAAGGTGAACTATCTCTCATTAAATTCCAGTAAAAGCAGACCATTCAGTTCACTAAAGTTTTAACCCCTTCTCTAATCCGACTAAATCGTTGATACTGTGCTCTGCAAAACGTAAAATCAGTGAATAATCTAGGGACGATCTTTAATATCGAATTGCGCTTTACTTCGACTGTGGCTTATTTGTTACAACATTGTATGCGTTAAAGACCATCTTTTTTTTGTGGGATTTTAATGTGACCCGAGATAGTTACTTTTAGATATATTGATGTATATTTTAATGTGTACGATTTAGAATAACAATTCTGTTGAATTAATAAAAAAATTAATATTTTCATTTCTAATTCAATATATAATTAATACCGCTAAAACTGCACAGTAACAAAATATTGCGAATTAAAACTAATCTAATCTAATTAATTTTAAGGATGGCCACTGCATATACTCAATTATAAGGACTATTTTTATTTGTTTGTAAAAATATACAAACGTGAAGTTATTGTGTTTTATTTAATGATTATCATATTTTTAGAATTGACAGATGACCCAGAACTAATTCTAGCTAAAGTACCAATCCTAAAATTTAAAGACAAAGAAACAGGATTCGAAATTGATTTAAACTGTAACAATTCTGTCGGTATAAGAAATACACATCTGCTTTATAGTTACTCTCGTCTGGATTGGAGGGTACGCCCCCTAGTGATAATTGTCAAAATATGGGCACAAGTCAATAATATAAATGATGCTAAGAATATGACAGTATCGAGTTATTCATGGACGCTCATGGTTATACATTATTTACAATGTAAGTTGAAAATAGATGTCTTTTAAATACCGATTCAAAAGAAATCTTCATTTGACATAATTTATTTAATTCAATATTTTTAAGATTAGTTAACCCAATTTTTTAGGTGGTGTAGTTCCACCAGTCCTTCCCTGTCTTCACGGTCTGATGCCAGAAAAATTTAATTCAATAGGTGAAAATCACACCATGGACGTCCAAGAAGAACTTCCTTCAATCCAAGACTTCAGATCAGACAATGCTCTAACCTTAGCCGAGTTACTTATCGGGTTTTTCCAATACTATGACTCCTACGACTTCAACCACTACGCTATTTCGGTAAGGGCGGGATCTAGCTTGCCGATTGAGGAATGCAGGTTCATGAAAGCTCCTAAAAATGATCCTCATCAATGGAAATATTTATGTATTGAAGAACCATTTGATTACACTAACACAGCTCGATCGGTATTTGATTTGGAATCGTTTAGGCATATTAAAAATATAATTTCTGCCTCATATGAACAGCTGTCTTGCGCGAAAATGTTGTCCAGTATCCTGCCACTGAATGGCAAGCAAGGAGTTAGATGATATATTGCCAATTTCGATAAGGACAGCTATTTTTAGAGATCTGTTCTTGCCTTAATTTTTTTCTCAAATAAGTTCTTAATAACAGGGTAGCTTGTAGCTTCACAATTTTGATAAACAATATAAGTAGAACATAATTGGATTAATTTAGGTCTTTCTGTTTTATATAGTTATAAAGCAGTTAATATAAATTTAATGAACGTGTTTGTAATCTTAAGTATTCTTTTCGGTATCACCATTTTTTTTGGTCTGAATGGTTGATAATTTTTAAACAATTGTGTTAAGCCAAGGGTCAAATCATAATCCATAAGGTGAACGTCTATGTAGGAGATTTATGTTTACCTAAATTGGCATAGAAGCATTTTGCCTATCTGTGAGCTATTTTGGACATGTTCAATACTTTTCTATGAATTTGGTAAAAATTAACATGTTCTTCAAATTCTAACTTCTATAAATTAGTGTAATAGTTATTTATTATTACATTTTAAGACAACTGGTTTGTGTCAATTGTCCTTAACGTCATCAGTTCAATAATATCTATTTTTGAGTAATTATATGTTCTAGAAGGGATAAGAAAGATTTCGATTAATTTTTTATTTTAAAAAAACCAGGAAGGTATCACTAACCGTCTTTAATTTAGTGGGCCGTTTTATTAAAAAATTGACAGCTACAACAGTTGTTTAAAATTAATAGCTAATTTATATACACATGTCATTTATAAGTAGTCAAAAATCACCAGTCAAAATAATAATTTATAATATGTTTACACCAGTGGGATTTTTATAATTTTAGTGTACTGAAAGTTGACATTTTTTCAAAATTATCATCATTTTTTAATTGTTGATTGGTTATTATTGACAGATTATAAAACTGACTGTCTAACACGTCCGTTGATTTTATATTTTTATTACATTAAGTTAAGGCGAGTACAGTATGATCTTGTTGAACATTCCAAATTTTTGAAAGAAGCCATTTTACAAGGCGATTAATTTTAGGATAGTTTTTGCTGGGGAATTATACATGTGTGGAAGAAATGTGTAATTCTTGTCAAATTTTTGTATGTTGTTTGTGTAAATTTGTCATTACTTTTGTAAATTGACAACGAAGTAAAATTAAAGATTAAAGAACGAAACGATATCTGTCAGCAATTCTATTTTGTTGAGCATAATTGGAGAAACTAATAAACTCCTTAACAGTTCATTTTACCAGATTTATGGTCAATTATTTATGTTCTAATACATATTTATAAGTATAAAAAAAATCAAATAAATAAAAAATGTTCAAGATGAAATATTTATAAAAAATCATCTTGAGCAATAAAAAAAATAGATTTTAGTTCAGTTGTTTATTAAACAAAACAGAAACTCTAGATTTACGCTTATATTTGAGGGTAGAAACCCTCAGATAGTGAAAAAGATACATATCAAACAACGGGTGCGAGTTCCCAAAGTATTAGGCAACGATATACAGGGTGGATCATTGAATTACAAAATCTCTGGTGCTTAAAAATAAAGGGAGGTACTTTTTAAATGATATATATGAAGGACACCCTGTATTTTGTTTTTGTTAAAATTTTGAGATTATATTTTTGTCGTTGCTCGTATAAGTTTTTCAGTGTTTTCAGATGTTTATACATATTAAATGGTGTAGATTATTCATAAAAAACTGTTACCCTCAAAAAAAAAGTGAAATATTTCAAGTTTAATTTTTGTTTAAACAAATACCTCAAACGTCCGAAGGCAGCTTTAACATTCTTGGACGTTTGTGATACTATGAATGATTTTTTAATGTAAAAAAGATCAAAAACTTAATATATTTAGATAGAAGTACTTTACCTTTATAAAAACCTAGTAAATAGTTGTATATATTTTTGTCATTCTGTAGAGGGTAGCAGACAAAAAAAACATTAAAAAAATTTAAATAAAAACAAAAAATATATATAGTTAAATAATATTCAATTATTTTGATCTCAAATAACGATGATGTATGTAAAAGTTTGTTTGTCATTTACTTCGAAAAGTGAAAAAACATGTTGTAAAACTCAAAAATCTATATTTTCACTAAAATTGTGGCCATAAAAAATTTGTAGCTAAGGTATTGATACCTAAAAGAATTGGTTAAAAAACAGTATGTATTTTAAACATTTTATTGATATAGTTTTTATGATGAGAAGAATTCTTTGATAGATTTTGCATGTTGCAATCTTGCAGCATTCATCACACATTCCTGACTTTCAATTATTTTCTCTTATTTCCGGGTACAATTATGCAGATCACAACAGTCAAAATTAAGCTCTCGAAAAGCTGTCAATCGACATTCAACACCCAATTTTCTTAGTGGTTCTTTTCGTCTTTTGCTCCGAGAAATTCACCTTTTTTGCATTTCTGTTAGATCAGAAACTATTTCAATCGCTAGTCACTAGACATGGTTTTTATTTAGTAACCATTCGTTCTAGTGTCCTGGTTTTCTATCCACTCCATTTTGTAAAATAATATACACTCGATTCGATATCAACAACATTTAAAACTATATCTGGCGATGCGATTCGCTTGTTCTTTATGGCGCCATTAACATTGAGCACAAACTGTTTTATAATGCTCCTTAAGAAGTCTTAATCGTATGCATGAAATATGTTGCTTTTTGTTTATTCAATGATTTAAAATGATGATAAACATTTCTTAAATGGACGCATGTTGTTATTTTTTAAGAAATTGCCATGATTTTAGAGAATGAAAATATCGCAGTTTTAAAACATGTTAAAATCTTTTTTGTTTAAATATAAAAAAATCTTAGGTCTTATGGGAAATTAAAAACAGTCACTATGTGCCAAAAATTTGAATATTTTTTTGTGAGAACAGGTTAGAAGTCTATAATACAAAATTGTCTGTTTTCTTTTTAAAATCAAATAATTTGGCTTCAGCACTTTTGTGGAAACTTTAAATTGTATATTGTATTAGTTAGTTTAACCGAAATATAAAGGAATTTGATTTAATGTCGAAGTGCTAAGAAAATTGCATAAATTAGTTTCATATAGGTGAAATCTAAGATCAGTTTGTCTACAGTTTTTTGAGTACACGCCATAATTACTTATACAAAATTCCAATAAAAACACGAATATATTTCTTACTCAAAAAGGCGTTGAAAACTCTTTAATAAGTATTTGGATAAAAAAGTCTAAATTATACTAAAATGTCAGTTTGTCTAGATTTTAATTATTTTAGCTGTTTAAACTTCTAACTTGTTAAACTTGTCATTCTAAATCTACTATAAATTTATTAGACAATATTTAAACGTCGAATACAATAATTATAAACAATAACTGTATGTAAAACTCTAAAAAATATCAATTTTGTGAGAATGTTTTGTTTAGACTGCGAAAAACAATTTTTTTAACTGACGAACAAAATAATCTGTACCTCAGTGTAAAAGATTAGGTTTTCTATTCTATATACTATATAGGATTAAAATTGAAATATTTTATTGTAAAGCTCGAGGAGTTTATTTTTAAGGTTTAACTCTTCGAGATACTTCCAAAAATTGTATGAATTTATTCAATAAAGTGAAAATAAAGACGTGTTTCTATTTTCTGTGATATAACCAATTTAAGAAAAAGCTCGTGCTGTTTATAGTTACATCTCTTTGGATATATTTTAACCGTAAATAACTTATGTAATTGTCTGAAGATTGGAAAGACCAGCAGGAGCGGATGAGCCCACCGGGAGATTTTCCAGTGCTTCGGTCGTTGGTTCTAGCGCCGACAGGCGCTGGTGCTAACGACGACAGTTTTAACTGGCACCGGTCTTACCAACGCCGGTAGGCGCCGCCGCCTTTGTTTCTTGTTTTTTTTAACACAGGTTTCAAAAGAATTGAAAAAGCCAGAATTTATTAATCTACTAATTGATGTAAGTCTGTATAGGTTATATGCTGAAAGCGCCCATACCCAAAAACGTATGTTTCATGTCACGTTGCATTGTTTTGTTATGAGGTATCTCGTTTCCCGCGTTCATCTGACTGACCTCTGCCTCTTTATTATTCCAGGCTTACAGAAATAATTGAGTAGAAAAAAACGGGTGAGGAGAGAGTGTTATATATAATATAAATTATATGTTCTGTGTGTACGTTTACTTAACTTCTGCTTAATAATATTTCCCTTTCGAAATATAAATATGGTTAATGAGTTTGTAACTTTGTACCTAATTCGATATTTTTCGCAAAGTTACAAGTGTACAAATTACAAATTTTCATTGCTAACAATTTTTTGGTGTTACACCTAAATTGAATTTAAAGGAAATTGCATTACTAGTAAATTCATAATTTGTATTCAGCTACAGTCTTCCACACGGAACGTGCAATGAAGTGGAGTGGGGTAGAATGATAACTGTCAATGAAATAGTATAAACACCATCGAGATAGAATGAAATAGAGACGACATAAACACTATTTTGCGATATGATAAGTGGACGCACTTTGAGTGATGGAAAAGTGTAATCTATAAATGGCGACGTAGAGTCGTATTTTGATTATTTGAGGTTAATAATTTTATATTTGAAGACTGACGGAATGAAAATATTTTTATATCATTTAAATCACACTATTTTAAAAAAATTGCATTTATTCTCACTTAAACTGACTGGCTCCAGTATCTCGATTTTGATATATGATGTAAAAAGTGTATTGCAAAAGTTTGGAAACTTTTATAGTACCGTCATAGCATCTCCACCATGGATAAGATGCAGGAACGGTTTAAAAACATTTTGTGCAACATTATAAAATAGTGCATCTGAAAATAATTTACAGGTATAATTTAATATTTTAAACAAAGCATACAACAGCCACAACACTAACAAAAAAAAAACAGCTGAACATGAACACAATGGGTAAACAAAGCCAAGCCTACATTTGTTTACTGTGCTTTAGGGCAACCTTTCCTTGTAATTTATGTGTGTAAGAGTAGAAGGTTGAATCTTGCACAATTTCTACACTCGTCATGGGTGCACAGACGCTACCTTATCATTATATCCTGGAACGTGCTTCCTAAAATATGTACTAGAATTGTCGCTCGGCAGGAGTCTTGATTGTCCGAGTACAAAAATGTGACTTATAGGAATCAACAGTAGGATGGTGGCAAAGAAAACAATATACAGTGCAAAAGGAGTTGAAGAAATTGCTCAGTATGCTGTTATTCCATCATTTGTAAATATAATACGTAAAAACCCAGACAACACACCAAATCCCAGAGATATCCACAGAATATCTTTTGTGGATATCCAATATATCCACAGGATATCAGAAATATTCTGTGGATCTAATATGGATATCCAAATGTCCGTCTATATCCAGAATATAGAAGATATCCTAATGGATATTCAGCAAAATATCTAATAGGTATCTTTCAGAAAATACAAGAAATCCCAGAGATATCCACAGAATATATTTTGTGGATATTCAATATGTCCAATATGGATATCCAACCAAATGTCTGTCTATATCCCAGGATATAGAAGATATTCGGATATTCAGCAAAATATTTTATGGGTATATTTAGTAGAGGTTTATAAGTAACCAATGATTATTGAATAAAGTCGAAAGAAAAAATATTTTCAACACTCAAAATATTTTCAACACTCTGCCTTTGATTTTGCCCACTAAGGAGAAAGTCATCCTTATTAGCCCAGACAGCACACCAAATCCTTTGGATATCTACTGAACATCCCAATATCCACTGAATGTCCAGTCCATGGCAGATATCTATTTTATATCCATGAAATGTAATTTATAGACATGCAAATGTCCATAAATAATAGTAATTATATAGCAAATTATTAAAAAATTACGCCATTGTGGCTAGTAGTACCGTTCATATATTTAAAATTAATTTTTTTAAGGTGTATTCAATATCCCATGAACATCCACTAAATATATCAAAGTCTAGGCGCGAACGCAAACCATCTTGGATATCCACTAGATGTTATTTGATTCTGCTTACTAAGTATAGATGGCGATACCACTATCGCATCTACTCATGCTCGACCTGCCGTAATTGAGTTCGATCGAAATGTGTGTCCTAATCACTCCATTAGACATGGGTAACGCAGTAAAATTCTTTGCGTTGATACACTAACTCCGGCGCACTCTATTGCGTTAACGCTTTTGCGTTATTGCGTCACACCACTGCCTGCGCCGAATGAAGTCGATGCACCTCGGTGTATCATACCGCTGTTATTCAGCGCGGGCTCTCCTTTTATAATGTCAAACCGTGTTCAAGGCAATAACTAAATTTTTTTTATTATATGTTTAAAAATAAACGAAAATATAACAGTGTAATGCACCCATTTTTTATTTCATTGTGTTCGGATTTTACAAAGAATACAGAAATTCCAATTTTTATAAAAAGGATATAACTTTTGCATACTAGTACCAATCAAAATGGGAAGAACTAAAAACTGACAGTGTACGAGGTTAAAATCCATAAAATTCGACCTACAATCCTACAAATTATGTGACATGTTGCAAAGAACATAATTACTTGATAAATTTTGGGTAATCTGCATTACGAGTTGCATCAATTACGTAAATTAAAATCCTCAACCCGTCACGGAAAACGGAATCAATGCCTGGCGCATGGCGCATCAACAAACAACTTGCGATCCTTTTGACTCAATATCGAAAATTGCGTTGCGCTGATACAGTAACAGCTGGTGTATCAACGCTCGTAACGCATACAACTGCGTTAACGCAATAACGCAGCGCTGCGTTACCCATGTCCCATGTCTACACTCCATTAGAGACTGGAGTCGAGAATTTTCATTTATTGCTGAAGAGTCCTAATAAGGACGACTTTCTCCTTAGTGGGCAAAATCAAAGGCAGAGTGGTTAAAATATTTTTATCTCTGCTATTTTCTTTCGACGTTATTCAATAATCATTGGTTACTTATGAACCTCTACTAAAGACACCCATAAAATATTTTGCTGAATATCCGAATATCTTCTATATCCTGGGATATAGACGGACATTTGGTTGGATATCCATATTGGATATATTGAATATCCACAAAATATATTCTGTGGATATCTCTGTAATTTCTTGTATTTTCTGGAAGATACCCATTAGATATTTTGCTGAATATCCATTAGGATATCTTCTATATCCTGGATATAGACGGACTACGGACATTTGGATATCCATATTAGATCCACGGAATATTTCTGATATCCTGTGTATATATTGGATAGCCACAAAAGATATTCTGCGGATATCTCTGGGATTTGGTGTGTTGTCTGGGAGGACTCTTCAGCAATAAATGAAAATTCTCGACTACAGTCTCTAATAGAGTGTTTAGAACAAAAATGTCGATCGAACTCAATTACGGCGGGTCGAGCATGAGTAGATGCGATAGTGGTATCGCCATCTATACTTAGTAAGCAGAATCAAATAACATCTAGTGGATATCCACGATGGTTTGCGTTCGCGCCTAGACTTTGATATATTTAGTGGATGTTCATGGGATATTGAATACACCTTAAAAAAATTAATTTTAAATATCTGAACGGTACTATTAGCCACAATGGCGTAATTTTTTAATAATTTGCTATATAATTACTATTATTTATGGACATTTGCATGTCTACAAGTATTACAAATTAAAAATTTAAAAAAACCGACTTCAAAAACGTGCAGATGTCACATCTTAACCAAATTTATATGGGACCACCCCTGAGGTACCCCCTTACCCAGACAGCACACCAAATCCTTTGGATATCTACTGAACATCCCAATATCCACTGAATGTCCAGTCCATGGTGGATATCTATTTTATATCCATGAAATGTAATTTATAGACATGCAAATAATTGTAATTATATAGCAAATTATTAAAAAATTACGCCATTGTACTCGCCATTGTGGCTAATAGTACCGTTGAGATATTTAAAATTAATTTTTTTTAAGGTGTATTCAATATCCCATGGACATCCACTATAAATATAAATATATCAAAGTCTAAGCGCGGACGCAAACCATCGTGGATATCTACTAGATGTAATTTTTGATTTTGCTTCCTAAGTATAGATGGCGATACCACTTTCGTATCTACTCATGCTTAACCCGCCGTAATTGAGTTTGATCGACATTGTTTCACAAACAGACTTCATTAGAGACTGAAGTCGAGAAGTTCCATTTATTGCTGAAGATTCCTAATAAGGATGATTTTCTCCTTAGTAGGCAAAATCAAAGGCAGATTGTTGGGAAAATTTTTTACCTCTATTTTCTTTCGACGTTATTCAATAACCATTGGTTACTTATGAACCTCTACTAAAAATAATTATAAAATATTTATCTGAATTTCTATATCCTGGGATATAGACGGACATTTGGTTGGATATCCACAAAATATATTCTATGGATATATCTGGGATTTCTTGTATTGTCTGGAGATACTCATTAGATATTTTGCTGAATATCCATAGGATATCTTCTATATTCTGGATATAGACGGACATTTGGATATCCATATTTAGTTCCACGGAATATTTCTGATATCCTGTGGATATATTGGATATCCACAAAATATATTCTGTGGATATCTCTGGGACTTGGTGTGTTGTCTGGGTACTAACAAAAAATGAATCGTATAAATCGGACAAGGTGGTAGAGCATTATCGCTAAACATACATAAAAAATGAAGAGTTTGAGGATTATCTCATGGATTCAATTATTAGATTTTGACAAAATTTATATGGGACCACCCCTACAGTAGCCTCTTTCTAACAAAAAAAGAATTATTGAAATCGGACACCGTGTTAAAAAATTATCGCTGAACATACATAAAAAATGAAGAGTTTGGGGATTTTCTCATGGACCCAATTATTAGATTTTGACTAAATTTATATGGGACCACCCCTGAAATACCCCCTTTCTAACAAAAAAAGAATCATTGAAATCGGACACCGTGTTAAAGAATAATGGCTGAACATACATAAAAAAAAAAATATCGCGACGAATTGATAACCTCCTCCTTTTTTAAAGTCGGTTAATAAATTACATTTCATGGATATAAAATAGATATCTACCATGGACTGAACATTCAGTGGATATTGGGATGTTCAGTAGATATCCAAACGATTTGGTGAGCTGTCTGGGAAGAGGCTTACCCAAAGTTGTCACTAGCATATAAATTTTTGCTGACAAATTCAAACAAGCTAAGGGATACTCTCAGTCAAACCCGACGACATATCGCACACAGTAATAAAGTGACAACTCAAATTTCTCAAATTTGCATGTTTAAATTTTTAATCGTAAGACGGTCCAAAATATGGCGCCCTCCATTCGTAGAACTTTTTAAATGACTGTTACTCCAACGCAGTACGTCTTAGAGTAACACTGTCATTTAAAAAGTTCCATGCATACGAATTTAAATTCGAGCACTTTAGACCACTCGTGTTGAATTCACCTGCCATTTGTCGTATACTGTTTTCGAGAATACACTTTTTCAAAATCACCTAGTTGCTATTCGACATTTCACTAATCTCGCATGCGAATCGAGGTATTCGAGAATACTACCCCTGGGTTTAATGCCTATATAGGACCTCCAAGTCCAAAAGAGTAAGTGCGGCCCTGGAGTGTAAGCTATCGGTCTGAAGAAATTTAATTATGTAATGGATAGGAAGTGCACAGAACACTTAGGAAGTGTAAATACGCTTTACACGCTCCTAAAGAAAATAACACATTTGTGTTGTTCTGTTTTTCTTTTCGTAAAAAATAAATAATTGGCTGAATATCTGAAAAATTTGAGGCCATGTTTGGCATGTTTAAATCCATATTTCTTTTAAAATATTTCTAAAGTTAAATAATTTTATTATATCTCATTTTGCAATAATAAAATAAATCTTACAATATCCTACTAAAAACTTAAAACTGGAAGTGGAAATTTAATATTGCCGCCAAGCGGAAACGGATATTCTCTACACGACAACGAAAAAACAAATGAGTAATGGGAAATGGCGCTTGCTGTCGTAAGTGAATTTATTTCAAGTTAACTTGAAAAGTTTCCACTAATTTAGATTATTTTAATATTTTTTAAGGAAACGGCAAGTATTTATACAAATAATTTAATCGATACGAGAACGAACCGCTAGTAAACAGGGTTAAAATGAGTGTCGATGCGTACGGGCCTAGTTCGCAAACACTCACGTTTTTGGATACTGAAGATGCTGATTTGATAGGGGCTGATACACAGGGCTCCGAATGTGATTTTACCGATTTTACCATCCCTTCACAAACGCAAGCCTCGCAGCACGATCATACAGGCCCCAAAGTTTCTGGGGTACAGGTTAGTACTTTACCAAGGTCACCGTGACTGATACATTTCATAAGTTTCAGCAATATGTTTAAATAATTGTAGGAATATCGTTTCTTAATTTATCAGTGTTTGGTATTGACAATATACCATTTAATTTCTGCAAGTCTCATGGAAATTACTGTTTTATTTTTTAATATAGTGTGTTATTTATTTACCACAGTAAATGTATAAAACTCTTAACTTTATCTTTGTAAATTAACATATTCCAGTAAGACCGCCTTTTATGGGTCCATTTTTTCCATTTTGTCTTACCTCTACAGTGATGTAAAATACCTAGGTATTTATTTTTGCCTAAAAATTCCTGGGAAAATACCCAAAAATATTTACCCAAAATAGGTAATTTTCTGGATATCTAAGCAATTGGTATGAAAAATATTTATTGAAATTAAAACATTTATGTCACAATATCTGAATTGTGTAAACACTTCAATGTGTGTTATTCCATTTTATTCACATTTGGAAAATCAAAATTTGCACACCACTTCTTTTTACCTATTTTGTTGTAAAATTGCCAGACAACTTTTCTCCCTGTACCCATAATGAGAGTGAAGATTGACTATGAGTTTTAACATATCCATAGGTAAGTGACATTTGTTTAAATGGCACTTATGTTAATCTGGCAAAAAGGTATCGATATAATATCACCTGCTTTGTGCTTTTATTACATTCTTGTCGCGAATGCCATGTGTTATAACATAACCAACAAATATTAAATTATTTTAGGTTATGTTTTTGGGTAGGTAAATATCTTTTGCCTGCTGTTCCGTATATCACCTTGATTAACCTGGGTAAAATCGAGTTCCGTAAATGTCAAATTCCTGAAAATTGTAGATTTATGGGACAATGTTCCTGAAATGCCCTTAGTACCAGCTGTCACCAAAGTGACCAAACTTTTTCATTGGTTGTTATGGTTGACGTTGACATTTGTGATAATCATGTGGCATATCAGTAAAATTTGTTTTGGACTTTTTTAATTTTGGAAGAAGGAATATTTTAGCAAATGTAAAAACTAATATCTAGTTCAAGTTCATAAAAATATAAAAGACATCCAAACATCAACATCCAACAAGAAATACATTGATTTGATATGAGACATTTGTCATTTACAAGCGTAAATATTTCACTTACCAATAACCAAAAAAGAAACAGTCCTGAAAACACTAGTAACCCCTTTAACCACACCGGTAATATTTGGTGATATACGGAACACATGGTTGGAAAAATACATGGTAAATACCCACAATTTATTTACCTACCACCAGAGCTGGGACGAATCCTCAAAAAAATGATTCGAATCACGAATCCGAATCACGATATGTGATTCGAATCACGGATCCTATGGCTGAATCCTTTTTGCAATAAAAAAGGATTCGAATCCATTTTTTTGGATCACGAATACGAATCACTGTCAAGTGTCATACCATGGTATTATGTATGCTTCCAAATCTAATATCAATGCAACTATGTGTCTATTACGGACTATGACGTGCATACAAATGGTTAATACAAGAAAAAGTTGAAAAAAATAAACTTTTTTTTCTATAAATATGAACCATAAATTAATTAGAATCTACAAAAAAATATATTTTTTTTAATGCAAAAAACAAAATAATAAACAATGAAATAAAAATGTCTTTTGGTTGGCCTTACATAGCACCAGAGAAAGGAAGGCAACTGTTAAATTTTAGGATTTTTTTATGTTGGATATTCATTGCTAATTTGTAATGTCAAAGAAGGCAGCAGAGCACCTAGGCAATTTTTCCAAAAACAACAACACAATATTTTTAGGATCTTAAAATATTATTTTTAAAAAATACAGGGTACTTTGCTAGCTTCGAACGAAGCCAGCAAAGCACCTCTGTTCCAACAAAGCACCCGGGATTTTTAAAAAAAACTATTTTTTTTTAGAAAAGTTAAATAATATTTTAAGAGCCTAAAAATAGCTTAAATATGTGACATAAGTAGATGTTTCCAGAAAAAAAAAATAAAAAAAAAAAATAAAAAAAAAATAAACTGAGCTGCTCTGCTAACTTTGTTCCAACAAAGCACCCTGTATTATTTAAAAATAGCAATTTTTAGTAAAGTTTTAGAATATTTCAAGAGCCCAAAAATGTAGTGTGGTTGTTTTTAGAAAAAAAAAAAATTTTTAAAAAACCGAGGTGCTCTGCTGGCTTCGTTCGAAGCTAGCAGAGAATCTTGATTTTTGCAAAAAAACGAGGAGGATAAAATTTTTGAATAGGGTATAAAAAGTATTTCATATGTTTCAACTTAAAATTGTCTAGGAGCACTGCTACCTTCTTTGACATTAATTTGTAGATTGATACGTTTATATTCTTAATATTAACAATCGGTCTTCAGTCTCAGTCAGTTTCAGTTTACAATTCGCGATAAGTCAAAGCGTGAGTCGACCATTTGCGCCGGAGTAGTTTGGTCTCTAAAAGAATCCGATACTAATATTGGTGATTCGAATAAGAATTCTTAAAGATTTCCTCGGCGAATCCGGATCACAGATCCTTTTTTTCTTAAGTATTCAAATACCGCTCGCGGATCCTCAAAAAGGATTCGATTCCCAGGATTCGAATCCTCCCCAGCTTTGCCTACCACTGGGTAGTTACCCAACTCACATCACTACCTCACATGGTAGGTACCATTGTAGGAAAATGTGGACAAAGTAATGAAAATTTGAAAACGTTTTGATATTATATACCTCTTAAATTCACTCAAATATTCCAAGTTAATGGGAAGAGAGCAGAGAGTAAGTAGACCCCCGAATTGTCCAAAATAACATGGGATAGGATCTGCTTCAAATAACAAAATACTTGGATAATCTGTCATACAGGTAATACTGGCCAGGGGTTCCTAATGATAAGTTGAACCAGTTTAGTTTTTCTCTGGCCTTGATGAGGTTCTGTAAATCATATCTTCTGGAAAGGCAGCAATTTGATTTTCATAACAGTTATTATTCACAAACGTACTTCCCAAAATCAGGTGTCCCTCAAGGTTCAAACTTTGAACTGTTGCTATTTTCGTTATTTATTAATGATCTCGATCATAATTTAAATTCTTGTAGATTTATTTATGCAGATAACTTTAAAATATATATATTAGTACTAGACATCTATGACTGTTCAATGCTTCAGCAGGACCTAGATAGATTTTCAGATTGGTGCATGCAAAATAGATTAATGCTATATGCATCTAAGTGAAAAGATCTACTAATTTCTATTATAATATTAATTGTTTAGTTTTGTCATGTTCCTCTATCACTGATCTAGGTGTCACTTTTGACTCGAGACTAAGTTATGTTGAGCATATTTATATGAAGGTTTCTGATGCAAACAAAATGTATAGTTTTGTTATACGAAGCTGTTGTGGATTCAGGGACATTGTAGCATTAAAAACATTATACTATTCATACATTCTCATTACGCTTGAGTACTATTCAAATATCTGGTATCCCTACTATAATATTCACATGATTAGTGTTGAAAGTAAATGATGTCTACCCTCCAAGAGGAATCGATTATCAGCTACTTTTGGATAGTTTTAACATGGATAGCCTCGAATTTCGGAAAAGTCTAGCTTCTTTGACTTTATACAAAATTGCTAATGGATTAGTTGACTGTCCTGCTATTTTAGCTAAAATTAATTTAAATGCTCCCCAGTATAATAATCATCATTTAAAGTTTTATTGTAATAGATCTAGAACAAATATTCTATTAAGTCCACCTCTCAATGTCATGTGTAATAACTTTAACTTATATTGTATTTCATCCACCGATCTGTAATATTTTACTGGATAGGATATAGGCTATAGGCTATATTTAACATACTAAAAAATCGTTCCACCAAGGAGACCGGAAGTGCAACAATGCTGGCCGATTTGGGCAAATTATGGTGGGTTCACAGAACTGAAATTTGGGATAATTTGACATACCTAACCTATAATTTGATTAGTTTTTCTTCTTATTCTTCTTCTATTCCTTTTGCGGGCGATGTCCTTCGGGAAATTTCACCAATGATTTGATTTTTCATTAAATAAAATATAAAAATGGAAACGTGAAGCATATTGTGTCTTCAGGAATGAACGTTTATTGTTTATTTCATACTCTTTTTACTTTGTTTTCCACAATAAAAACATCTCATCGTAGCTTGTTGACACAATTAAATGACAAAAGGAAATAGAGGTTACGTTAAATAACATCCGGTCCGCCATAATATTTGCCCAAATCGGCCAATTTTTCGGAACGTTTTTTAGGGGGCTATATCCTATCCAGTAAAATAATACAGATCAGTGATTTCATCAGATATCTTCACAGAGAGTTTTGGAAAGTATTAAAGCAGTTGCTTGTACCAATTATGACAATGCTTAAAAACTTCTCTTTTTTTGTTATCTTTTATATTTATTTATTTTGTATTTACTGTTTTTCATAATATTCATACATATTTGTCATCTTTATCTTTATATCTGTTGGGCAAGTTACAATAGAACAAATAGAAGAGCCGGAAGTGGCAGGTACGATTCATATCTACACTGGCGGTTCTAAAACAAAACAAGGCTCAGGATGTGGAATATATTCCAGATCCTTAAACCTAAACATAGAATGGGCTGTAAGCAGTAGTGCCAGTGTAGTTCTTACAGAGCTGACGAGGATTCTCATAGCAGCAAAAGAAATCACCAGAAACAATACCACTTGAAGGAACATGCTCATCCATAGAGATAGCAGACAAGCACTACTCACCCTGAACAGACCACGAATTTATTTACAGGTCAGAGTCCATTAAAACAATACAATTGCAGAGAATACATATCACATTCATTAAATAGTAATAAAATCCTAAATAATCATAAATTTAAATATATACATATTAAAAAACACTTAATTAAAAATCTAACATATATTACTCATATATACATAAATGGTTAGAAAATTCTGATGGAGAAGTAGTCCATTCTACATTTAGTCTATTAGCAGATCACTCTAGGAAGTAAAGAATGAGAACCATAATTTGTTATATGGAATTTACCCAGGGTTAGTACTAGAATGTCAGGAAGCTTTGGCCGAAATATCCATCAACAATGTGGTCACCTTGATCAAAGATCAGCAAGACAGTTGTCTTGCTGATTCACTGGTCAAGAAAATAGCCATTGGTCCTTCTATTGTCCTAATAAAATGGGTACAGACAGATCTAATTAAAGAACAGTTTCTTGTGAAATTCAAGGCAAGATGGGATGGAACAAGAAACTGCAGGGTTGCCTGGGAGCTTTTAAGTTATTCGACAACACTACAACAAACAAATACTTGACTATGATTAGACAGAATCTGTGCTTGGTCACGGGACATTCTGACTGGTCATTGCCAAGTACGGAAGCATCTCCATATCATGGGGTTGTCAGAATCCGCACTTTGCAGGGGGCGCGAACAAGAAGATGAGACCATCAAGAGTATCCTCTGCGATTGCCTGACTCTCATTTTTTAGAAGATTTGTGTTCGGCGAGTATCGGCTAACACCGGCCGATATAAGAGAAGCACCTCTTGGCGACGTTGTCATCTACATTAAATCTGTAGGCTGGCTCACGAGCTAGGAGGTGCCTATCATCTTAGGAGGATGCACAATGGACCTAGTGAGGCCTAAGTGCCGTGGGGGTAACCTACATGTTACAGAAACAGATATGTTGGGCAATAAAGGCTATTATTTATATAAGGATAATTTCCTGGCCGTTGCAGAATATCTAAATAAAAATTTCCTTAATGCCATCCCATTAAAAAAAAAAAAATTCCTTGGTTTAGTCGGTTATGTTTTTATTTTCTATTGTTTAAGCACAGCACTACATATGTTTTGGAAAAATTTCCATCTTCTGGTGCAGTCAAAATTTAATAAAATATGGGGGGCGATTACAAACAATTTAAAATAAACCCCATCTTTCTGTTTCAGGGTGTGAAGCTCAGCTATTATTTATATTATTATTTTAAGTGAACATTCTATAATCTCAGTTAATACGAAGCAGTGACACTTGTACCTCGGATAATCGGGGGTTCTACTGTACTTTTATTTCATGCTTTTTTTATTGGTTTCTACACTATACACTCCCTGGAGTGATATACAATGATATCATCCTACTTCAAACTATTTCTTTTTAAACTTTTTTTATATACATATTTTACTAAATTAGTTTTCTGTCATAAAAATTAATTATGCATGCACAAAAAATTATCTACTTCCAAATTCTAGATTTGCATATTTAATTCTGTGCTAAATTGACACACTACTTTTAACTACATACTCACTTTTATGATTTCCTACTGCTTTTTGTATTTTCAGTTTCGTTTATATTACTAAAAGTAACAATCTTGATAACATACAAATTAAAGGGCCAAATAACCTGTTTTTGGAAAACACTCTCCATTTGTGGAATATTTTGGCAATACATATCAGAAATCCACCAGTAAATGAATTAAAATTTTAATATTTTTCTCTAAAAAGACCTACAGGGGTTGGTATGTTCGAAAAAGGGTTAGTTTAAGTGTTCAAATTGATGCATATCTTGATCAATGCATTGACAGCAACGTTTCGCAATGGAGAGACAGGTCAGGCGAAGCATGTTAAGGTGTCCGCGAAGATTTTCAAATTCTTTAATTCGGAGCTCGGGAAGGGTGCGTGGTGCTCTTGCGAAAACGCGGTCCTTGAGAAGGCCCCACATGAAGAAATCGCGGGGTGTCAGGTCACAGGTCCGTGCCGGCCACTCAAAGATTCCTCGTCTGCCTATCCATTCTCCAAAATGATCATTAAGGAATTCCCGCACAAATAACGCGTAGTACGGCGAAGCTTCAACGTGCATGAAATGACGGATGTTCGCGAGTGTTGGATCGTTGTCCATTTGCCCACGTAAATCTTCGAGCATGCATTTCTAGATAACTTTGATCAGACTTATGACGATTTATCGAGCGTTGCCAGACTTATGCCGACCCCTGTACAAAAAATAATATGTATGCCCTTGTGATATGTACATATTTGTTATGATAATTGAATTTTAAGATTTTTGTGTTATATAAATAATGTACATTAAGTATATTTAATTTTTTTTTCTACAGACAGTCAATCTGATATCAATTTCAAACATTTTCATTACAAAGTAAATGTCGATAACTATACTAAAAATAAAATTTACCTCAAACTACAATTATTTACTATTATTGTAAAAGCTTTTCAAAATGATAAATGATTTCCATTAAATAAAATTTTAAACTAATGTGGATATATTTATATAAATTAGATCAGTAGCAGTATAACCAACAAGATTGTGACAACAACAAGTGCTCTGGGAGAATTACAATTTGAAGAGGATGATGAGGAAGGATATTTTAATGCTAAAGAACTTCCAGATTATGCTTGCAAGTACTGTGGAATCCATGAACCAAACTGTGTTGTTATGTGTAACCTCTGCAAAAAGTGGTTCTGCAATGGTAGAGGAAACACTTCAGGAAGCCATATTATCAACCATCTGGTTGGTTATTTTAGAATTCTCATTATTTAACTAATGTTTGAAATAAGCTTCAATAATTGAATTCATCATTTCAAAAACCGCATAAGTCAATTTTTGGCAAAATTGGGTTTATATCATGAAAAGTCTTGACAGGGGTACCTAGGGGTATAAGTCATTAAGCATTAGATAAATAAACTTTTTTAAATTTTTGTATCCATTACAAATACCTTATAAGATGAGAACTTATGATGTTTTTGCATGGACAGTCGATTTTTTTTATCCTAAAATATTCAGTTTTTTAATGACAAATAACTTACATACATCAATAAAGAATATAAATTTAATAAATAATATATTTTTTAGGTAAGAGCAAAACACAAAGAAGTTACCCTTCATAAAGATGGACCATTGGGAGAGACTATTTTAGAATGTTATAGTTGTGGAGTCCGTAATGTTTTTGTTCTTGGTTTTATACCTGCCAAAGCAGATTCTGTAGTGGTACTTCTTTGTAGACAGCCATGTGCTGCTCAGAATTCTCTAAAGGTTCTTATTTTTTTATTCTAAGTAGAAAATAACATAATAAGGATGATTTTTTTATAGGATATGAATTGGGATCAAGACCAGTGGAAGCCTTTAATAGCTGATAGATGTTTTTTGACTTGGCTTGTAAAAATACCATCAGAACAAGAACAATTGAGAGCTAGACAAATTTCAGCTCAGCAAATAAATAAATTGGAAGAATTATGGAAAGAAAATGTGGATGCCACTTTTCAAGATTTGGAAAAACCTGGTGTTGATGAAGAACCCCAACAGGTTTGATGAAATAATTATTTAATTAAAAAAAGTTTTAAGTTTTTCTAAAGAATATGTACCTATTATTAATATTGATACATTTTTAGGTTCTCTTACGATATGAGGATGGATACCAATACCAAAACATCTTTGGTCCACTGGTAAAATTGGAAGCTGATTATGATAAACGTCTTAAAGAATCACAAACTCAAGAAAATATTGAAGTGCGTTGGGATGTTGGACTCAACAAAAAAACCATTGCTTATTTTACTCTAGCTAAAACAGATGGGGATATGAAATTGATGCATGGCGATGAACTAAGGTTAAGATATGTTGGAGAAATGCATAAAACTTGGGCTGGAGTAGGACATGTAATTAAAGTTCCTGATAATTATGGAGAGGATATTGGAATTGAGTTGAAGAATGGATCTGGAGCTCCTGTGGAATGCTCAAGTAACTTTGTTGTAGATTTTATTTGGAAAAGTACCAGTTTTGACAGGTTAGTACAGTCTCTTCTAAAAAGTTGTGGCTATTACAATTGTCCTTTTTTGTAACCTAGAATGCAACTAGCACTGAGAAAATTTGCTGTTGATGATGCTTCGGTCTCTGCTTACATCTACCATCGTCTACTAGGTCATGAAGTTGAGGAAGTTTTATTCAGATGTCACTTGCCAAAACATTTTTCAGCTCCTAATTTGCCAGATCTTAATAGATCTCAGGTTTATGCCGTTAAACATGCCCTTCAGCGACCTTTGTCTCTAATTCAAGGTCCTCCAGGTACAGGAAAGACTGTGACTTCAGCCACTATTGTGTATCAGCTAGTTAAACAAAATGGTGGACCGGTAAGTTTAAACATATCATTTATTGGTGAATTTTCATTTAAAAAAGTTTGTTTTGTATTTCATTTATTAAGAAAATTGGAAATATTAATCACAACTAAAAATAAAATTTAGATTAAGTATGATTCATTTACTTTCTTACCCGTTCTCAATTTTCACAAACAACTCTCTGTAGGTCCTAGTATGTGCTCCAAGTAACACAGCGGTCGACCAACTTACTGAAAAAATACACAAAACAAATCTAAAAGTTGTTCGACTGTGCGCCAAATCTCGTGAAGCCATTGATTCTCCTGTCAGCTTTTTGGCTCTGCATAACCAGATAAGAAAGATGGAAGGTAATACAGAACTTCAAAAATTACAACAACTAAAAGATGAAACTGGCGAACTGAGTTCAGTAGATGAAAAACGTTACAGAATGTTGAAGAAAATGGCAGAGAAGGAACTTCTAGAAGCTGCTGATGTTATTTGTTGTACTTGCGTTGGTGCTGGGGATCCCAGATTGGTCAGATTGAAGTTCCATTCAATTTTGATTGATGAAAGCATGCAGGTATAGTAGTAGTTCTAATCAATAAATGGGAAGAAAAAAAATAATATTTCTATTAAAATGATTTTTTTATTATCTATAATAGTATATTATTAAACGAGCAAATAATGGCCATAAATTGCGAGTCTAATACTATACTTTGTCCACGACCATTATGGTTTCTTTATTCATTTATATTCTACCGGAATGTGCCAGAATTACAAAAGCGTGAATTATCATAATTCACTCCGTGATATATGGGTACTATATGCTTTTAGTTAGGAGGTAGAATATTGATTTATTATTAAGTGGTCGTGGACAAAAGCTATTTATGCAACTAGTTATGAAATGCTTTATTTTATGTAACAAGTGAATATTTGCGCGGGACGAATAGAGTTAGGTTCCACAACCATGAACGAATTACACAAAGCAGCATTTCAAAACATTACATATAACATTTTTTCTAGTTTTGACTAAATTATAAAATTGTTTGATAAAAATTTTTTTGTACTTCAAATCAAAGATTTTCTGTAAAGAAAATTTGGAAAATTCTAGAGAATTATTGTATAAGCAACCGATATTACGTTTGTATTGTTAGTTGCATAACTTATAACACATGGGCATATATTATTTAGAAAATCATAAATTATTTTTCTCAACTCAACTAATACTTGGTGTCGAGTCGTTTTCTTGTTCATTTTCAAAAAAGTTTGTTATTTTGTCATGTATTGTGTAAAAGTGGATCAGTGTTTTTGATTATTTTGTGCAAATTTAAAGGGGAAAATAGGAACCAAAACAGAATTATTCCTAGGTTGTGAGTTCATTAACAAACTCTCTATTATAAAACCTGTATCTTTGATATAAACTTTTAAATTTATTTTGAAAACAAAACAGCTTTATTTTTATTTGTTTTCTTTTCACAACTGATAACATAATTAATTTTTTCTAATTTTGATCGCAGCAGGTGTCAAAATGATCTACTTTATGCAACCTGTTGCATAATATTGAACATTATGAAACTGGGTTACGAAAAATTCATTGTCAGCAGTTGCGAAAAGAAAACAAAAATTAACCTTTTTTTGGTTTTAAAATCAATATATACTATACGTTATCATTGAAAATTTATATCAAAGAAGTACTTAAAAAAATAGAATTTAGTTAAACTTTAGTAATAATGTTGTTTTGGTCCTTATTTTCCAGTCCAAATCAGCACAAAATAATTAAAACAATACACGACAAAATAACCCACTTTTTTGAAAATTCAATAACTAATAAACAATATAAACACACAAGTCATTGAAAATAAATAATAATGATGTTCTAATTGTCAATGAAAGGATGCATATGCAACTAACAATACAAAAAAGTAACATTGGTTGCCTAAATATCAAATGTTTAACCAAAACACAATTTTAGTCAAAATTATAAAAAAATATGGTATGTAACCCATTACAAAAGGCCGTTTTATATAACTCGTTCATGATGCGGGACCTTGCTCTGCTCGTTTCGCAAATATTCACTTGTTACATAAAAAAGGCATTTCACAACTGGTTTCATAAATAGCTATTTTACCAAGTGTTGGAACAGGAATTCATTGTTTATTAAAGTAATATTTACTTTTATAAAACTATAGATTTTGTAAAATTTTAGTTAATAGAATAAATTTACTTTATTATGTCTGTATATGAGAGAGCTATGGTTGTATATTGTAAACACTTAAATATAACTCTATCTTTTCCTTCATATTTTTTCCAACAAAGAAAACTTTGTAATGAAAAATAATGTATTTATATTTTATTTAAATTATTACCTCTAAAGCACAACGTAATATAAATAACAGATATTAAGAAACATTATGTAAAAATTGAATTTTTTAACGTAAAATATTTTTTTAAATGTTCGATATTGATAACATTTTTAAAGTAACATCTAACAAAGATTAGGTTTTGTCTTTGTCTCCAATAATAATATTTCTTCGCCAATTATTGACTAGAAATTCATAAATAAAATTTGTTAAAAATTTCTTGTGATAAAATACTTTATATTTAAGAAACTTATTTCCTCGTTTCCAATTAATAGGCAACTGAACCAGAATGTATGGTACCGGTAGTACTTGGCGTTAAACAACTTATCTTGGTAGGGGATCACTGTCAGCTTGGCCCCGTCGTAATGTGCAAAAAAGCAGCCCGTGCTGGTTTATCTCAAAGTTTATTTGAACGTTTAGTAGTACTGGGCATCAGACCTTTTCGTCTAGAAGTCCAATACCGCATGCACCCTGAATTGTCTCGTTTTCCATCAAACTTTTTCTATGAGGGCAGTTTACAAAATGGGGTGAGCGCTGAAGAAAGGAAATTAGTCAAAATCGATTTCCCCTGGCCCATAGTGGACCGTCCTATGTTCTTTTTAGTTACACAAGGGCAAGAAGAAATTGCTGGGTCTGGAACTAGTTATCTGAATCGAACAGAAGCATCAAATGTTGAAAAAATTGCTACAAGGTACTAATATCACTAATGAAATTGTTCATTATCATTTACTAGTATTTCTTTTTTATAGATTTCTTAGATCGGGTGTAAAACCTGAACAAATCGGGGTAATCACTCCTTATGAAGGACAACGTGCTTACTTAGTTCAATATATGCAATATCAAGGTTCTTTACATAGCAAACTTTATCAAGAAATAGAAATCGCTAGTGTAGATGCATTTCAAGGTCGTGAAAAGGACATCATTATTATGTCTTGCGTACGTTCTAATGAACATCAAGGAATAGGATTTCTAAACGACCCTCGAAGATTGAATGTAGCATTAACTAGAGCTAAATACGGAATTATCATTGTTGGTAAGCTAAAAAAAAATAAATACAGAATTCAGAAGTTTTGAATCATTTTTCTTGTAGGAAATCCTAAAGTTTTGTCCAAACAACCACTCTGGAATCATTTGCTGTCTTTCTATAAAGAGCAGAAGGTATTAGTGGAAGGTCCATTGACTAATCTCAAAGAATCCCTAATTCAGTTTGCTAAACCGAAAAAATTGATAAACTCTGAAAACCCAGGATCACATTTTATGACTACATCTATGTTTGACGCCAGAGAAGCTATGGTGCCTGGTAGCGTTTATGATCGCAGTGCTAACCAGGTAAAAATCCGATACCGTCTTCAATATTATGTTTTATTTGAATTAAATTTGATTTTTAGAACCTAAATGGACAATTTAACTATCCTAGCCACAGAGGCGTACCTTTAGATGTTTTTGGAAGAACTCATGATCCCATCAGCTATATATCACCTGAACGTGCTCAAGCTGGAATGAATTTACCTGTACCTGTAGGAATGTTTATGAATATGGCACACATTCCACCAAGATTTTATAATCAACACCAACAAGCTTTACAAGTAATTACTCGAATAACCTTTTTTTGCAACTAAATCAAAAATTATTTTTTCTACACCCGTATTATAATAATGCACTTATATGCCCAAAATCCGTTTCATAATGATACCCATTATGATACAGATTTTTCATTATGATACAGATTTTTAATCAATAGAAACCTACAATTTTTCAATCAAGCATGATGTTTGACGTTTGTCCTAAATTCCTATGTAATTGTTTTAGTTGTCAAAACGTATTAAATTTTCGTAGATAGCTAAACTTCGATAATTATAATATTAAAATGTCTGATATCAGCGATATAGAAGACTCCTCCACACATATCGGAGAAAGGAGAAAATGCAGTACAAAATATTTTGCCCCAAAAATCTGTGGTAATACCAATACCCAAGGTAATACCATTAATTACAATTTTGTAGAATTTTTTATAGAAATACGAGTAATTACTGTTATTGTGTTCAATGCCAATATAAATAGAATATTTATAGGTCTTGATTATTTATCGGGTGTAGAAAAAATAGCGTATGCAACTCTCATGTAATGGTTATTACATGATCGTTGCATAATATACTATATTATATTTGACAAGTTATGTAATAACTGCCAATGAAACACATACAATATTAGCTATACATATGAACTTCAATCCCGATCATTTGCAAACTAACACCATTTAAATCATGTTGCCATATGTAGTTTGTTGATCGGGACTGAAATATAGTCAGAAATATTTATGTACTTAATGAGTAATAAAATGAGTTTTTTGTGTATTATTTAGGCACGTCAGCAGCAGAACCACAGAAACAGAAAACCACCGCAAAGACAAAAAGGCAAAGGTGGCAATTTGAGTCAGGATCAAACTCAACCATTCAGCCAGAGCTTGCAATTAACACAAGGAATGTCCCAGCCTGGGTTATCTCAACCAGGTTTCAGTTTAAGTCAAGCTGGATTATCCCAGGCAGAACTTAGCCAAGACCCCTATATGGCTGAATACCAATCCCAAATGGACGGACTTTTGTCACAAGATTCTACTTACCAGGGAGATAGGTGAGGGTTTTGAATAGTTGGGGTGGTTTAGATATTCACATATATTTTAAATTACAATTTCTGTAAATTTTAGATTTTGCTCAGACAATTTTGAATTGAACATGTAACATTATTTGACAAATAGTTTATATTCTGTTTTATATAAATCCTAAAATATTCAAAAATAAGAGAGCTAATTTTCTATTGTCTACAATATATTTTTGGGCGTTTTTAAATCAATTCTCTTTGAATGAGTAGAAACTGAAGTTAAAGACATTTTAATTTCAGGTCTGCCTTTTATCAGCCGAGTGCTCAGTTCTCCCAGCCCTATTGATCGAGTTCGGCAGAAGAATGACAATAGAATCGCGGGAGCGGTCTTCTGAAAATTTGCAAGTGAATGAGATCTGATTGTCAAATTGTCAGTAATGCAGCAAACAAGGTCACAAGAAGTCGACAACGGAAAAATATCTAAAAAAATCGACATATGGAGAGAGGAAATATACAAAACATCTAAAATAAACAAAATAAAAAATAATAGAAGCGAACGCCGGATAAAAAGGTGCGTGTTCCCAAAAAAAAAAATTCAGTCCCCCTTCGATTAGGGGGGATGACACTCTTCCTGTAGGTGACATTTTTCACACCGCTGTGACTAAGATACCTTTATTTACAACAAATTATTGTAAGATTTATTTTAATTTAATGTTTTTAGTAAGTTATTTTTGTTGGGCATTTTTTAAGATGGTTGGCTGTTATTTCATATTACGTCGGTAAAAAAAAAAAAACCTAAAAGCGAAAAGAAAAAGTCAATTTTCTTTAACTATTAATGAAATAAAAATCTAAAAAAACAAAATTAAGGTAAATATTGTGAATGTTTATGGTCTTCAAAATAAATTTTACCGATTTTGAAATAATTGCCGTCAACTTTCTGCAAAAAAAGTAAATAAAGAAAAACCAAACAAAGGCTCATGCCATAATCGGCATAACATATAACTTTATTTTTTTTTAATTATATGTAAGGCATTGATTGCCAAAGGGTTATTGGTTTATATATATATTTTTTTTTTTTTTCATTTTTCATGGCATTAGAATCATATTAATCTGAAAATGAGAACTGTGCTATGCTCATTTCTTATTTTACCACTACTACTCACTGCTTTTTTTATTTTGGACCTGCTATGCCAAGTAGTCCGTGTACTGAACTTTCCTTGTGAGTTATAAAATTTATTTTGAGCAATAAATAAAAATGTTTAATTTATTAAATTGAGTTTTATTTTAAGTGTTAAAAATTCACTTTTTAACAAGAAAAAAGTAATCAACCTGTATGCAAGAGTTGCGTCGCAACCGTCATAATAACGAGTGATAAAGAAATTGTGACAGCAGTGATGACAATAGATAACAAAAATCTCCTCAAATCGCAACGAAATTTGCCCTAAACTCAACGCCACAAAAGAATTATAGGTACAAATTTACATTATGTATCATATTGTACTGTCCTTTTACAAATAAAGTTAATACATCGAAACTCAAAAAAGTTTCACTAAAATTCAAGTTAGCACCCCAAATCACAATTGAAATGAAACTAAAAATGTCCTTCCATTGTGATTCATTTAGTGTTCCTTGGTTTTCTGTTACGAGCATTTTACTCGAGACTATTTGTCATACACAATTGAAATTTGAAACAGTTGTCATAGGTTGGCCTAAATACAGGTGTTAACTAAAAACGTTACGTTTCCGTGTTCAGTTCAAGCCGATGCGGTCTTGAAATAAACACGGGATACTAATACAATATTTATAGGCAAACCCGTGTTGATATCGAGGCGCCAGACAATGAACCACGCCACGCACAGATTTGTTTGGAAACAAGCCGTATTTGCTCACATCCAAATCCGTATTGATTTTAAGGACGAAATCGAAAAATCCACGTCCAACCTACAGCTATCGCTCGTAGAAAAACTAGAGACTTACCTTGCAGTGGGAGGATCCAGTCAGGTAGACCCCCGAAAGCTTATGAAGACCGAATAAGAAAACGTCCCCGTTCTCATAATATTTCTCTTAATATTAACAATAATCAACCTGTTGCAAAAAAAACAGAACTTACCTTCCTACATAATGAAAATTATTTTGATTTGTTTGTGAAAATAATAATTATTTAAATATAGGTATGTTAGCAACAAATAAATAACTAGTACTTCCTATTCTTTGTTCCGTGTCTAGGTAGAAAACCCCAAAAATTGCTTAAAACATTTTAAAAGCAATGCAAAATTTTTCGTTTTTGACTTTCTGTAATTTGAACATGAATCGCCACATTTTGAGTTAGAGACGGCTGTGACGTTCATTGATTTCAATAGGTATTGTCAACAATGCTCCATAAAACAAAAAATAATCTGCACCAGTCACAAAAAGTATCGCATAATCTAATAATGTTAGGTACCTACTACTACTTTTCTACTACGAAAGATGTATTAAACTATTAAAACATGTTTTCTAGACCTCTACGTATAGACTATACCTACTTCTTACCAATTTTTTCGTCATTATTTTGTTGTTATAAGTATACAAATAAAAATTAGTTGTCACTTTTATATTACTAGAATATTTAACACAATTTTGTTCCATTGCTCTAAACGTAAGTTATGCGATCCTTTTTGTGTACCGTCTCCATGTTCAGTACCAAGATGCTCTTTGAAATGAAAACGGAAACGTGAACATGTAACTTCATTCATTTCCAAACAAATCCGTGCGTTGTTCATTGCCTGGCGCCTCTAAATCAACACGGGTTTGCCAATAAATATTGCAATACTTTTCCGAGTAGGGCATCCATATGATGGTACAATAAGTCCCGTGTGGTTGCAGTGCCGCCATGCGAACCAGAGAGGAGGGAAGGCAGGCTGGAACCCAAGCCTGATTGGGGGAGCCTGCAGGAACTCCTCAGGGGAGAGCCTGAATATAAAGGATTAAAAAGTAAATGGTGCAAATTAAAAGAAAATTATCAAGATTGCATTTCTTTAGATAGTATTTTTTTATACAAAAAAAGAAAGTTGTATCGCCTCCTGGCCTAGATCTTTCAACGTACCGACTCTTTATTTTATTTTTTTACTTGCAAAATTCCTGAGATCTTACCAGACCCTACATGAATCTGTGTCAAAAATATCGTCATGACCTCGTCTCATTAAATTTGAGTTAAAGTCAAAAAAATTTTATTGTTGAAGAATTAATTACATTCTTATTCACAAAGATAGATAACATAATAGTATAAGAAAGCAAAAACAAAAAAATTAAAGAAAAGAAATAAATGAAATTTTTTTTGTTTTTAAAAAAATTTAAAATTCTAATGTCTAGACAAAATATATAAAAAACAAAAATGTAGATGCACAACACCAAGTACAAATATGACAATCGATAAATATATAATATACACATAAATTAAAATGAGCTACTTAATTCAACCAATCACAGAAAAATTTATTTAATTTGTAGTAGGCCTTCTCGAGCAAGAGTTTCTTAAGGAGGTCCTTTCGCCACCAATGTTAAATAAAAAATATTAGATTATGACTAAAATTAATTTTTTTCTAATAGTAGATGTCTTTATTTATCTAATAGTGAACTTTTAACTATACCTTACCGTGCAAATTTTTGAGAAATTTTTTTTTTAAATGTGTGTGTTTGTACAGTGTCTTATGAGAAAGTAAGACTTCAACAACAATTTTCGAATTATAGTTAATTTTACTATTATTTATTGATTAGATGGAGTAGAAAAAAACTAAAAATAAGGTTTTTGAAATATGTAGGTTTTGTTTTTTACAATAAAATATATAGGTTACCGTGGAATTTATTGAGAAATTATTATTAAAAAATCAAAAAAAATTTTCAACTAGGTTACTTGAAAATTTTTTGTGATTTTTTAATATTAATTTCTCAATAAGTTCCACGGTTTACTATATATATTTTATTGTATAAAACAAAATCTAAATATTTCAAAAACCTTATTTTTAGTTTTTTTTTTACTCCATTTAATCAATAAATAATAGTATAATTCGAGAATTGTATTGTTGTTGAGGACTTACTTTCTCGTAAGGCACTGTACAAATACTAACATTAAAAAAAAAAAAATCTCAAAAATTTGCTAGATAAGGTATAGTTAAAAGTTCAGTATTAGATAAATAAGGACTTCAACTATTAGAAAAAAATTAATTTTAGTCATAATCTAATAACTTTTTTTTTAACATTGGAGGCGAGAGGTGTGGCGAAAGGACCTCCTTAACTTGCTTTTTAAATATTTTTAATTGGTAGGTGGTTAAATATCTTCTTTCCGCTATACACAATAGAGCCATATATCAAACCGGAAGAGGGTATAGACAAGGGAAGGTAAAAGATTCCTCGAGTATTGCTGGAGGTAATAACATATTTTTTAAAAACTTAAATTCTACCAATGAAAAATATACACTCCTTGCAACCGAAATATCTAAGTTATTGCAAAACATCCAGAGGACGCAGCTTCTTACACAAACTATTAACATTGATTTCAAATTTTAATTTCTGGTCAATGAATAAGCCTAAGAATTTATTTTCGGGTTTTTTTGCAATTTGTTGCTGTCCAACTGAAATTATAGCGATATCGCTACTGAATGAGACTATTTGTTTTTGGTATATTAAGAGATAAATAATTTGAATTACACCATTCTTTTATCTTAATAATGTATTTGTTAATAGTATTAAACAACTCTTCAATATTCTCACTCTTGTAGAGTATCGTATCTGCAATTACCGTGAAGTATCCATTAATATTGACAATAATATTAACATAACAAATAAGACTGGAACCACTTTAGAGCTATTCCTCAGAATCCATATTTATCTAGCTTGCTCAGCAATATTCTGTGATTTACAGTCAAAAGCATTGGGTAAATCACATAATACTGCAGCAGCTACCCCGTTATCATTTAAATCGAAGTATAATTTCTCTAAAACAGAAAACAGCATCGGTAGCATTTTTACCCGATTGAAACCCAAACCGAGATGTAGATAGCACTCCGTGTTTTTTTAAGAAAATCTCTAGCATTCTCATCTCAACCAATTTTTGGATAATTTTTGCCAAAGTGGGTAATAAAGAAATGGGTTGATGATAGTTAGAAGGACAATTATGATCACCGCCCTTGTACACAGGTAGAACATTGGCAATTTTTAAAGAATCACTGAAAGAACTTGTGATTGATTGATTTTGCTAAAACATTTAAAGCATCTTCTGAAAGATGTGAAAAAAAGATGGAAATTTATTTTGTCAAATTTATGTGACGTCAACGTAGGCCGAATGATATATCAAAGAAAAGCTTGTTTTCCTCTTTTCATGAATACTAAAAATTACCACATTACTAATGAAAAATCCTATAGCAGTTCTATTAATCTACTTTTATTTACAGTTAATATATAGTTAATCCGAAACTAAAAAACAGTAGTAAGCACTGAAAAACTGTCAAAAACATTGGGTATACTATATTATATAAAATTTCAGATTTAATTTAGTCTTAATTGTATTTGATAGCTACAGTGTTTAAAAATAAATTAAGAATAATGGCACACTTATTAGAACGAATCTCAATACTAATGTTGACTGGACATGGTGAATAGAAAACGTAATGAAGAAGCAAGTCACTGTTCGTCCTATAAGTAGATCTACGTTTTAGAGAATTAATAAATTTAATGAAGCCGGTAACGTACAGGATTGCCCAAAAACTGCAATTAATGAAGATAAGACTTTAATGTCCTATTAGATGATCAAAAAATTCTACACCTACATATGAACTGTCAAGAAATAATGGTATTAGCAGGAAGATTGTACAAAACAAAATTATACCTGAAATAATCTATTTATTTCCAAATGTGAATGTCAATTTTCAACAGGATGGCGCACCTGCACAAATGTCGATTCTGCAGAGCACATTTTATGTAGCTGCTCCGCTTTGAAAATAACTAGGTTCCAGATCTTTAGATTCAACCGACTTGGGCCTACCGACTTTAAACAGGTCTCAACCAATTCAACCATGGCCTTCATCGAAAGGTGTGGCTTGTACGGTGAACTATAAGTTAGACATGAACGACAATATATCCCATCTGGTTCGCAGTGGAAGGCGATGAGATCTTCCCACTCATTTTCAACATAACCTAACCTGCACAATATCATAGAATCGTTAGACAATATTTGGATACCATTTTCCTTAGAGTCGCAATTAAGTGGCCAGTACGATCTCCCAACTTGACTCCACTTGATTTTTTTGTGGGAATATCTAAAGGACCATGTCTATGTAAATAGACCAATTAATATAAATGAGTTAAAGGATCGCATACGTCTTGAAATGCAGGAAATTTCTCAAGATTTTTATTGCCAAGAAACAGATGGCAAACACTTTGACCACGTAAAAAACTACATTTTCTTCTTCTTAGTTTTAGTCATTACTTTTGTTAATTTATTGTTATCATTTATTTAATTTTTTGTACCATTTAGAATAGTAATTCTCTAGTGTACCTATTTGAATAAATAAAAAAAAATACGTGTGGCACTCGGGGACTGCCGCGGTAAAGCTATTGCATATTATCAACTGATGCAATTATAATTATTTATTTTATTTATGCAGTATTTTTTTCTTTGATATTAATTTAAGTTTTTTCTTTGATATTAATTCAAGTTACACTTTTTAAGCGTGGTGACCGATAAGAAAACATTTTTTTTCTTTTATTGAATAAATGAGAAGTTAATATTGTTTAAAATATTTTTATTATCTTACAATACATGTAGGTTATTCAGGAATTTTTATCATTGAAACTATAGGTTTATGGTAACTGAAATAAAAAACATAAGTTTGAGAATTGATATCCTCTAAATATCTGGAAAATACCGCGTCAATAGTGGTCCCATATTTTGTTGTGGATTCTTGTGGATCATTATTCATTTTCAAATTCAATTTTTCAGAAATCGTGTCTAATAGAGATAGAATCAGTTATAAGTTGAAAAGTCTTTTGGTAGGTAGAGAGGGGGTAAACGTCAAACCACGTCGGGCGGCTCCGAGAATTTCACAGTAATGTTTACCTGCCAGTGTCGTTTCATAGAATAAGTAATTTTAAATTGTTATCGGCGGAACCGGACAATCGCATGTATTTATGGATTATAAATAATTATTAAACATGTACTATAATATTCAAATAATAATTTTACAAAATTTCAACAGCTATTCACAATTTATTAAACTATTTACTCGAAATTGTTATTAACATCTATAAAATAATTTTGTACGCCAATGTATCGCGTCCACTTCGGTGAGATCCGCTGCCAACCTGTCAATTTATGTGTATAAAGTGGGAGAACTGGCAAAAGCATTTCCAACTTTTACTTCTGTTCTAGCAGCTAGTCTACACGCATACGTCTAATCGCACGCACACAAACACCGTGCCGAAGTCTGCCGAACTGAAACGACGTTAGACGATGCACGACTTTCAACGCCGCACCGCTGTGCCGGTCGGAGTGGAGGGTGTTTCGATTTATCGTTTTTCCGATTTTTGTTAGTGTCGTAGAAAAAATATACTGTACAACTCCAGTGGGCTCGAACTCACTCGTGGACGCGGCCAAAAGCACGTTGTCTCACCTAGCATTGTGTCTAAAAGAGGTAGAATCAGTTATGAGCAGTTAGCAGCTAGTCTATACACGCATACGTCTAGTCGCACGCACACAAACACCGTGCCGAAGTCTGCCGAACTGAAACGACGTTAGACGATGCAGACAATGGTTTATTTTCGAGGAATTTCTTGATTCGATCGCTGCGCTCAAAGCCCGCGATAAAAGCTATGCAATAGCTTAAAAATTAATATCTAATATTTACGCCAGCCTGGAACATTTGTGATACCAATTTATTAGAAGCAAGAGAAGCTCTTCTAGTTCCTGTATTGCATAAATGTTCCAGTCCGCAGATGTATATTTAACTCCGCTTCATACTAATACGAATAGGGTCGGATAAAACTTTCCATGGCTATAACGCCGTACCGCATTGCCGGTCGGAGTGGGGCTGTTAGGTTTATTTTCGTTACGGTGTTACGAAATTTCTGGATTCGGTCGCCGCTCAAAGCCCGCGATAAAAGCTATGCAATAGCTTAATAAAAAAATAACTGTAACCTGTATTATGTCTTCGGAATTTTTTTCTTGTAATGAGGTGTTTTTTAATATTCTTGAAAAGAGGCAAACATAAGATTTTCTCTAACATATCACTCGACCTACATTGCCATTTACAGTGTGTATTCAGTTGGCTAAAAGCAACATTAATAACTTTAATACAATGTCACTGATCTATTTGTCACAACTGATAATTAAGTTATTATATGAGTATTGTTGAAGACTTACATTTATTCAAATCATATAATCTAGGATTAAAAAAAACTGAAATTATAAAAACAGAACCTTTATTCATCAAGCATTGACGAATTTTCGGTTAATAATGTATATAAATAATCATTGTACATTTTTTTAGCATAATTAATTTGCCTAGAAATAGTATCTGCCAAATCTGTCGTACGGCATCTAACTCTAGGTTTTTTCACCGGGTCTGGGTTTACAAGAGCCGCGCTTGTCCCAGTATATCGCATTACAATTTCTATGTAATATCGTATTTCGCCATGTTCTTTTTCTTTAATCACATTGCATACTTCTAAATCACTAAAAATTGAAAAAAAAAATAAATAAAAACGTGATCCCTACAAAATATTATTTTTCATGATGTTATTTTCTTACCTCAAAGAACATTCTACCACAGATGTTAATTCTGAACTTTTTGTACATGTTACTATTCGTATCATTTCATTGGATATTATACAAAGTAAATCTTCAGAAGCACTACCCAAAATTTCAAAAGCGATAAGTTGTTCTGAATAATTTCTGAAAAATGATAATACAATGATAAGCACTTATATTTCTATAAAAAAAGCCTTACTTATTGTTTACTCTATACAAATATTGTTGACCTTGACTTTGTTTAGAATTAAACTTTGGCAAAAGGCCACCTGGTCCATGTACACATCTAGGTAGTCGCTTTCTTTCTGGCATTTGCTTACTAAAAATAGAAGATTTATATACATTCAGACATTACCTATACAGTTTTTATTTGAATTAATAAAAATTACCTCCGACTGGAATCTCGAACGGCTCTTGCCGTTTCAGAAGCAAAATCAAGAACTCCTACAACGGGTTTGGTCACTGCACCTACCAAACCTTTGCCCAATCCAGAAAACACACCTGGTAAACCATCGTTTGAAGCACCTTCATAAACTTGTTTGAATATTCCTGTGGCACCCCCCAAAATTCCAAAACCCAGTCCCTTAAAACCTAAAAAAATAAGAAAAATGAACGGTATGTGCATACCATCTCAAGAACTAGATAACTATTCATTAAACTGAAAAATCAGTTACCTGCCAATATATGGTCAGAACTTTTTCCTCCGTGAACTCTTCGAATTTTTTGCCTTATTTCTTCATGGTAATCATCCATAGATACTTTTCCAAGACCATCTGAGAGCGATTCGGTAATTTTAGCTGCCGAGTTTGACATGCCGTGAGTCACATTTTTGACAAGAGAACCCACATTTCCTTCATAAATGAAACCGGATATACCTTCAGAAACGTCATTTACCAAACCTAATGGATTGCCTATAAAATCGACTGAACCTAGGATAATTCCGGCTTGCCACATTAGTTCCTAAAATAAAAAAATTGAAGCTTGGTAAATAAATAGTTATACACTTATATTTTATGAATTTTTCGACTTACATCTTTAAAATGTTTAATGATAATTTTTATTAGAAATTCGCTGGTCTCAAAGGGGTGTTTTCTTTCAAATGCTTCAAGATCCACTGCTGCATCTTCAAATTTTATCAGGGTTAATCCTAATTTTCTTTTAATACCTTTTAATTGTCTCGGAAGTTTGCTTGACGTTGTAACGCTTAATCTTATTTGATCCGGGATCAGTTTAATTATACCAAAATAGTACCTAAAATGTTAACAGTTATGTTATGTTTTGAAAATATAATGGAATTGTCAGAAGTACTGCTGATATTCCTAGATAAATAAGTAAAACATAAATACACATTAGAATAAGTACATAATATGGATTTAGATACCTTTTAGAATGTGCAGTGTATGTTTCTGTTAATAACCCTTGTGTTTCATTACAATCATTATCTTTGTTAACCAATTCTTCAGTTTGAGAGTGAAACCCAAAAAACTCCAAAAGTTTTAATAACAGCACTTCTTCAATAATAAGAGTTATTTTCTTTAGTCTCACTATCAAATGCTAAAATTGTATCAGTTTTAAAGAATAGTCTTGAATTTATTTTCTTATAATATGGTAGTTTAATTTGAATTAATTAAGGGTTGAAATATCACATGACATGAAATTAATATTTTATTATATATCTTTGAATCTAATATTAAATTATAATCCCTTTTCAAAATGAAGTTTCAGCTCATATTATTAAAAAATAAAACATCATTCAGGGATCAGATATATCTACAGCTAGAACCAAACATTTGTTGTCGCCTTTGATGTTGAGGAAGGACACAATTATACTAAATTAGTGAGAATATACTATATTGATGATGACGAAATTTGATATTAGATTTATAAAAATAGAAGTTTAGGTATTCATTCATATTTTATTCATTATTATTTTCCAGATTGTATTCATTTAAACATTAAAAACAATTTGGTTACATACCTTTAAACTAGTTTTTTTATGATCTGTAAACAATATTTAAAAAAAAAAACTGAAACGTATATGTCAAATTCAATTAAGTCACACTAATATTCCATATTGTTTTATTTTCTCATAAATAATGATATATTTATACAAAAAACAATGTGTATAGCTGTATTAAACAATAATAAGTCAATTATAAAGCAATACAGCAAATTGTAGAATTCAAAAAATTATTATTCTTTTTTCGATTTGAAGAATGGTTTATTAGGTACATCAATTAATTAATATGTTTGTAGATTAAGGATTTTTTGACAATGTTTCAGTCGTCAGACATTTAATATATTCTCAAAGCTTAAAATAACTTAACCAACATTAAATTAAATTGTTAACACACATAACGACGACACTGGTTCTTCCTTCTATCTTTAGCAGACACATGTTAAATTTATTGCTCCAATGCGATAGTCCAGTTCATCTATATTGATTCATCTCAGCGAGGTAGAAAAATATAATGAATTGGATGACTATACTCCGATACAAAGTTAAGTCATAATACTTTTAGTACAGTGTTCAGGAAGGAAAGTATATGAATCATGATTTTTTTTAAATTGTATCGAGACATAATATAGTGATTTTTTTTTGGAAGCATCTTCAAATGAAGCATATTTTTTTGTTTCTCTGTATAGTTGATATATTGTTTAATAAAACTAATTTTGATATTTAAATATACACATGGTGTACTAAGTGTTTTAACCTCACTAAAGTAGTATTTAATAGATAGGCTAATAAAATAGGCGTTTTAATAATAAATATAAAGTTATGTACCTTGAATATTATGGCATTTATATTTGTCTTTGGTTGAATTTCGGCACTAAAATCTAAGGCCGGTAAGTAATCATATTCCTGATCAGTAGTTTTGAATCCTGGATGAGTGATGTATGCAACAACAGGTACCGATGTATCTACAAGCTAAAAAAATAAGTTAAAATAAAATCGTAGACATCTATATTTTTTATATAAATAAGATACCGGACGAGCAAGTATATTTGAGCTTACTTTGATGACTATTTTTTGAGATATCAAAGTTAAGTTTTCACTCGAGACCTCTAAAAAAATATTTACAAAAAATTCCAATATAAAAGTGAAATATATCAAAAAAACATAGAACAGCCGGTTGCGAAAACGTTCATTAAAATGTATGATGTAGATAAACTTTAGTATAGCTTGAGAATGTGATCTGTCTGAATTACATGAACTTCAAATTATGAATAGTCTAATTAAGTCATGGGATTACCATATTTTTATGAAATTTTAAGGTATTAAAAATTAGTGAATGTGGTTATTTATCAGATTCCTTAACGTTTGATTTTTAAAACTAAAAAATATTTTATTACCTGGTTATCTATTTGAATATCCTTAATACTAAAACAAAACTGTTTGTTTTGCGACGTTATCACAGTTTCTCCAACGATAGCATGAAAATAAATATACAACAGTTCTTCAGGTATTTTCCTACTGACTAAACTAAAACCAATCCCATGCAAATTAATACCAAATTGGAGTTCTCTCCTCTCTCCCACTTCTTCTTTTCTTTCTAAAAAAGGTTTATTTTACTTCCATTTCAAAAGAGATTTAAAATTTTATTATCCTGATATTTCTCTAAATACATAAAAAAATCAAGGACATTAAGTAGGGAAAATATGCCCATGATGGACCCCCGCCTATGACGGACCACCAGCTGTATTTTCACATTTACCGCGCATAACAGACTACCGCCATCTTGGTTAGGATGACTAAAGTATAAAATCAGTTGTTTACAGGCGACTATGCGAATATATGCCGTTTGTGTGAAAATAACAAGTATTACAAATTAAAAATTAAAAAAAACCGACTTCAAAAACAGATGCCATCACCATATCTTAACCAAATGTATATGGGACCACCCCTGAGATACCCCCTTACTAACAAAAAAAGAATCGTATAAATCGGACAAGGTGGTAAAGCATTATCGCTAAACATACATAAAAAATGAAGAGTTTGAGGATTTTCTCATGGATCCAATTATTAGATTTTGACCAAATTAATATGGGACCACCCCTAAAGTAGCCCCTTTCTAACAAAAAAAGAATTATTGAAATCGGACACCGTGTTAAAAAATTATCGCTGAACATACATAAAAAATGAAGAGTTTAGAGGATTTTCTCATGGACCCAATTATTAGATTTTGACTAAATTTATATGGAACCACCCCTGAAATATCCCCTTTCTAGCAAAAAAAGAATCATTAAAATCGGACACCGTGTTAAAGAATAATCGCTGAACATACATAAAAAAAAATATCGCGACGAATTGATAACCTCCTCCTTTTTTGAAGTCGGTTAAAAAATAAAGACAAAACTGGTAAGTACTGATATAACCCAGCGGCTTGGCATGATCACAGCTTATTCACTACCAGCTGGTCATCTCACCAGCGGCACCTTTGTACTTTGAAAGTTAGCAGTCCGTAGGTCGGTATTCGCGTGCTGTAGAGAGTGGGATAGCGGCCGACCATACTAGCGACGATTCGCGTATCAGGCGCGTATTAAATTGTTTTAACGGTAATCAGAGTACAAAAACGATAACAATTTATAGATGTATATTACAAAATATTTATTAAAAACGAATGGCACATTAACTTACATAACTACTAAGAAAATAGTTACTGATTTTTTCAAATTATTTCTCTGGGCTACTTTAAATTTCCTATTGGCATATTTTAGCATATAATAAGTTTTGACTCTTGCATATAAGTTCAGCAAGTACGTATACGGAAAATTTGTAAAGTGGTGAATAAATGTGACAGTTTTAAAAATATTAACAATTGTGAAAACTAAGTTATCCATAACAGTCAATTTCTGTTATAAAATTTGTATGTGGCATATAAAGGCTACCGTACTGATCCAAATATGAGTGAGAAAATAATGACGTTTCATCCACTTTAGTACTATTTGAATTTGCATATTTAACAATTTTTTTTTCTAAAATATCTGATTTTCTATAATCAGTATCTACGATTACATTTTCAATAGGTACTGCAGGTTCACACCGGTCTTCCACATTCTGTGGCACATCTGTCATCTGCAGTAAAACACGACTAGCATCGTCCTCGCAGTTTTCTGTATCTGAATGTAACAGATCTAAACAAAGTAATTTTCTGAACGCCCGTATAAACTGTATTGGGGTTTGATTTGTATTATTTCCACACTGTTGACGAACAGAACCAAAATTTTTTTTAAGACAATTTATCCCACAATGCGGCAAATTTTACCATAAATACAAAATACCGTTAATAGTTATTTTTCAGTCCAATATGCACTTAAGTGTTTTTGTAACATTTAAACCATCTCCGTTAAATACACATTATTGAAAAAAGTTAAAGTGATTACAGCACCCCCTTATAATTTTCGGACAAGGATATCTCAAAAAGAAAATTTTTTAAAAAATTTAAGTTTGGGCAAAATAAATTAGGCAATAATATCTAGAATATGCATATTTTTTAAAGTTTTAATTCTTGCCAGTTTCAAAGGGCTTTAAATTTTGAAATATCATTATGAAAATAAATACATTCCTCAACAGCACTATTCTTAATATAATCCAAATTCGCCACAATTAGTGACTAAAACGCCTCGTTAAGGGCTATCTTGTGGTGTAAACTGGTGTAATCATTTCAGGAAACGAATGATGACTGAGAGTACGATGCGATAGTTGTTACAGTCGTGTTACAACAGAAGGCAGCACTTAAGGAGGCGTTTTAGCCACTAATTTTGGCGAATTTAAAAAAATCATTAACAAGACATTAAGAGCTTAAATTTTGGGATTATATTAAGAATAGTGCTGTTGCGGAATGCATTTATTTTCATTATGATATTTCAAAATGTAAAGCCTTTTGATTTTTTTCTCGGAAACTGGAAGTAATTAAAAATTTATAAAATATGCATATTCTAGATATTATTGCCTTATTTATTTTGCCAAAATTTAATTTTTTTACAAAAATTACTTTTTGAGATATCCTTGTCCGAAAATTATAAGGGGGTGCTGTAATCACCTTAAGCACTCCTTCAAAAAGCAAGTTTGTTTTCTGTTGCCTACATACACTTACTGATATTGTGTAGCTACTGGGCCACTAGATGTATTTAAAATATCGAACAAATTGTTCATTCTTAAAATCAAGTCCGCTGATAAAAGTGCGTCAAATCTAATGTATAAATACATACTGTGAGCTACAGAAGCACTAAAAACTTGAGCTGTTAATTTGACCTTTATTTTCTCAAAACTGTTGAGGAAAATGTGTGTCAATTTTGGAACCACTCGAATATTGTATGACTTATCGTATGAATAAAATTGTTTCACATGTTCCCATGATGCTACTGAATCATTAATCTTAAAATTGTGTTTTATCAGGTTATTTCTAGGAGCTTTCAACAAATGAGTGATATCGAAGAGAAATACAATTTTGTCATTTCCAAACATGAAATATGGATGTTCCGGTGAAACATCCAGTAATTTTGCTAACTGCAAATTATTTGAGCCCATATCACATGCAACGCCTACTACTTGGAGCCCTATGTTAGTAACTTCTTGTATAACGTTTAAAATTAGTTGCTTTAATTGCAATCCAGGACACGTAGAATTAACTAGATAATAGGCAAGTGGTTGTTTCTAATTCGTACATATACCTCTAGCCATGACTACTGTGGCAGCTAGTGCTGGTTTAAAAGATATGTATTCACCTCCCATGTCTTCAAGACCATATATCCTATCTGAATTATATTATAAAACAAATTAGCTTTACAGTTAATTTCATCTAAAAAAATAAAACAAAGTTCATTTAATACCTCAAAAGGTTCAGCTTTATCCTTTAAAATTTTAAATAGTACACTATTTATACAAACAGAAAAATGAATGATACTGTTAAACTTTTGTAAGGTGCCAATTCCAAGCAGACAAAATTTATTTGACAGTTGCTGTTTTTTATATAATTTTGGACCTAGAAAATATAGCGACATACAATATTGCTTAAATTCACTAGTGAATTGTCTGCCTTTCGGTTTCTTAACTATTTCTCCTACTTGTATATTTATAAAATACGCCATGTCTTTGGACGGAAAAAATTTGTTAGTTAGCTGCTTATAATCGGACAAAGTAACTTTATCAAGATAGAAGTCAATTTTTTTATTAAAAAAAAACTACAATTGTTCGTAGTAGTGCACTTTAGCGTCGGACAACGATTGAAAATAAGCATTATCGGAATGTAGCCTCGAAAATAAACTATTTACACACAACACGATAAAATACACTAAGTTCGCTCCTGTACTCCTGTTCTCTACACTACCACTTTCCGGTGGCAAGTGAAGCCCAGCAGCTGGCAATGACTCCGCCCATATGCGCAGCCGTCCCAACTCCAACGTTCCGTTTTATGGCGAGATGACCAGCTGGTAGTGAATAAGCTGTGGCATGATGTTAGGTAACTCTTTTTTTACGTTTAGTTAGAATCAGTTTTTTTATTGCAGCTTGAAGGAACTGTTTTATTTTAATTTTAGGACACAAATTAAGGTTATGGCAAAGATCAAAAGTGCTTAGCATTTTTTAATGACTTATGCAATATTGCCTATGATGGACCCCTCAACTGTGTCTTATGATGGACCAGGGTCCATCATTGGAATGCGTTAATTATACATTTTTAGTTATTTTTCTCGTTTTTTTGTAGATATGGCGTCCAAGAAGAGACAACAGTGGAACGAGCATGACATGCGACAGGCTATTCTCAACGTTCAAAACGACAATATGGGTTATAAGTTGGCTGCAAATACCTTTAATGTTCCCAAAACAACTTTAAGAAGGCGTTTGGCTAAACAGGACAGTTCTAAGGGTGATTTGGGAGGACGAAGAGTAACTTTCTCTAAAGCTGTCGAACAGGAGATTGCGGCGGATGGTATTTGAAGTAGCCGAAAAAATAAAATAAAACATGGTTTTAACCGCGAAACAAAAATGGCAGGTTGGAAATGGATTAGGGGATTCCTAAAGCGCAATCCGCGAATATCTTTGAGAAGCCCAGAAAGTACATCATTAGCTAGAGCCCAGGCATTTAACAAGCCTAATATCGAAGCCTATTTTAACGCACTGTCTAATACTCTGGAGCAGTACAAGTTTCTCCCCGAAAATATTTATAATATGGACGAGTCAGGTTTGACTACGGTCCAGAAGAAGTGCCAAAAGATTTACGCTGCAAAAGGTCGCAAGCAAGTTGGTACACTTAGTAGTGCCGAGCGTGGGCAACACGTAACCGTAGTGTGTGCAATGAATGCCATAGGCACTTACGTCCCTCCTGTTCTTATTTCAAAGATTGAACGATGAACTTATGAACGGTGCTCTCGCTGGTAGCATAGCATTCGCACAATAAAAAGGTTGGATGACCAGTGAAATTTTTTGTAGATGGCTAAAGCATTTCATAAGGTACGCTAAAGCATCTAATGAGAATAAGGTTCTTTTACTACTGGATGGCCACAGTAGTCATAAGAGTCTTGAAGCTCTGCAGTTCGAAAAATAAAATGGTGTAATTGTGTTTTGCTTTCCTGCACAGTGCTCTTATGACATTCAGCCATTGGACATCGGATTCTTTCGTCCTCTTCATACGTATTTCGATCAAGAAATTCAATTATGGCTGCGTCAAAACCCGGGAAAAGCGGTGACTCAATTCAAAATAGCAGGTCTTCTCAATCAAGCCTATTTGAAAAATGCAGTGCCATCAAACGCAATAAACTCCTTCAAAAAGACCGGCATATATCCTTTCAATCCTCACATTTTTGATGACTGGCAGTTTGCAGCAGCTTTAGCAACTGATAAGCAGATTCCCGAGAATCAAGGCGATATCAACGAAAACCAAATGGAATTTCAAGACCAACCAAGTACATCTGGTCATAACATGTCTTCATCGTCAGTTCTCGACATCTCTGTGAAAGAAATTTTACCTCCTCCCCACGCTGTAGCCATTGGTACTGGTGGAAGAATAGCCAGAAAACGTGGATAAACTGGTCATTTGAATTCAACACCAGAAATGTATTAACTTAAAAAGAAAGTGACTGAGAAGGAAGCGAAAATAAAAAAAAACAAGAGGCCAGGGCAACAAAACGCCAACTTGTCATTCCAAATGACGACAGTTCTGATGAAGATGAATTCGTCTTAGAAGAATTTTTAGAACAGGAAAAAGACGACTTTGATGCTAGTTGCATATACTGCAACGAGTTATACTCTCAATCACAAGCGAGAGAGAAGTGTATTCGTTGTCAGAAATGTCAATATTGGTGCCATAATGAGTGTGCTGATGTCAGCCACCGTTGCAAAACATTTATTTGTGAATTATGCACTTAATTTTAGCTTGTTCTGGTTTGTAATAGAAAATAAAATGTTTTGTTGTTCGTTCATGTAAATGTTAGTTTTTTTATAGTTTTTTATCTTCATTCCAAGTTTGTTGGTACACCGATAATTTTGTTTTCAAGACACTTTTATTTGTTAATTTTATAGGGGATCAACATGGGCAAATATGTGCCAATGATGGCACCCTTGCTTATAAAGAAAAAATTGCTTGTGTTATTAAAGAAGCAATTAACTGGTAACAAATTCACCTTATAGTATAATCACCTTCAAATTAAGTATAGATTTTCATAAAAATAAATTTAATAACTATAAAACTAAAAAAGATATAAAGGAATTTTCTTAAGGGGTCCATCAAAGGCACACTTCCCCTATAAACAATGTAAGTACCTGTTAAATTTAAGTTTGGTCGCTGATTTAATAATATACTTCTCCATTCTTTGTCATCTGATGTAGCATATAAATTATTTTCTTTCATATCTTTTACACATATAACTTGCGTCGGTCCATCCATGTAAATGTTGACAGAGAGGAGACCTGAACCTGGACGTAAATGTTGCCTATCAATGGCTTGTTCAATCGGTAAACCATTACTTATAAATTTGTGACTTATTGGTTGGGGTAATCCCAAGACAACTGGATTACCTGAAATATATCAGTAAACTTGATTATCGGCAATAAGTTTATTATTATTATTATTACAATTTTATTAGTTTATTATGATAAATTTAGATTAATGAGCCACAATTTCAATTGGTATAGCTGCAAGTTAACTGATGATCCATTTAAAGCGTTTTACCAACATTTGGGGAAATTTTATAAATCCAGGTTTTCCACTACAAAAAAATAAGAAATAAAAACCCTGGACAGCCACAAGATGTTCAGCCTGAGATGAGTTTTTCTTAATCTATTATCTCCAGTACAAAACATATATAAAAAAAACTAAGGACATAAACTATTATTCTAGAATTAAAAATTCAAATAAGGTTAAAGAAACTTGGAGTATTAGTAATGATTTAAAGAACAGACAAAATTATAAATCCTTTACAAATTATATTGATTATAGCTCAATTGTCGAAAATGTACTAATAATTTTAAATCTATTGATCCATGTAAACTCCAACTTTAGTCTAGACTTTACAACAAGTTCTGAAATAATGGAAATATTTTCAAATATTAAAAATAAAAATGCTGCTGGATATGATGACATTTTTATAAGTGTTTTCCTACACACTTCCTGAATCGGCAATGTCGGTCCTAGCTAGTCTAATCAACCAAAGTTTTGTTGAATCAAATCATTCGTCAATTCTTAAGACCAGTGTTATTGTTTTCATACATAAAGGAGGCAGTAATTTAAGAGCATTCGAAAATTAGGCCTAAATCTCTTATTGCTACGCTAGCCAAAATTATTGAAAAAGTAGTAAAAAACAGTTGAAATCATTACCTAGAAATTCACAAATTGCTTGAAACAACAATTTGGTTTTCAAAAGAACATGAAAATTTTCTTATCTTGAACTTGCTTATTCTAAACTTAATATTTAGGAAGCTGTAGCGGCAAGGGCGGCTATAAGGGGGGCTACGGGGGCCACGCCCCCCTCCCCCACCCCCTCCGAGAAAATTCTTACAATTTATGGGCTTTTTATTAAAAAAAATATGCTAAAAAAGAAATGGCTAAAAGCAATTCCCCCGAAAATTCGTCTTGGAGCCGCCCTTGTGTAGCGGCGATATTCTGTGATTTGATTATATAAGGCATTGGATTGTACCAATCATACTGTTGGAAAAACTTCGAGTTTACGGAATCAAAGACGAAACACTAATTTGGGCAAAATCTATCTTTCAGAACACAAGCAAATGCTAAGAACTACTAAGAATTCTCAAGTTTTAGATATGTTAAGAAATTCAATACAGTTCTGTGTTGAGTTCCATTTTTTTCCTTCTTTATTTAAATGACTTCACATTACAGGTACTTTCACTCTATTTGACGATGACACTACAATTTTATAACACCATATATGTTGTGACATTAAGAAAATCAAAGCAGGTCAACTATTTGTGCCTAAATATGGAAATAAAAACTGGCCAAGTGCGGGTCGGTTCGCGCATTAAGGGTTCCACACCATCGTACAAGATTTAATACTATGTAGATATATACTTTTTAAATACCTTACTAAGATCGAGCAAAAAAGCCAAAACACGTTTCTAGTAGGGGAGCCCCTTTAATTTTTTATTTATTTTTATTATTTGTCATTCTTGGACCGGTTTCGTCCTTATTAGGACTCTTCAGTAAGAAATAGATGGTTCTCAATTCTAGTCTCTAATGGAATTAACAAAGGCAATACATTTACTTATATACATTAATGATAGTTACGAAAAGAATATGAATTCAAGTAGTAAAAATGGTGTCGCCATCTGTTCCTAGTAAAAAAAATCAAAGGTATTAGCCAAGGGAGTAGTTGTTTTCCGAAGGGAAACGGTCGCACCTATTTTATTTTGTGACATATGGCTTCGTAATTTATTTATTTATTTTAATTCTATTTATTTAACTATTTAATCAGTTAATCTCTTGAAATAAATTAGTAGATGAGTATATTATCATTCAAGCTAAAACGAATTTCAATAAGCAAATGAACTTTCAACCTAAGTGCAAGCTTGTTATATAGTAAAATCAGGAGCATGTTTGGACTTGAACTTGATCATGATTTCGTTCATGTTAAATCGCGTATATGCGTCAAATACAGAGTAAGTCAAAACGTGGCTGAATGACTTGTACTCTCAAACTCATTATCTTGCACGAACAGTCCACGCTTATTGACTTGCTGAGTTTTTCATCTTGTACGAACTTGTGCACGCTTATCGACTTATTGAGTTTTTTAAAAGTACAACAATAATACTTCCTATTAAAATATTAGTCATTCTTATAACAAGTTGGTACACGTAACACAACTTATACAGTATCTTGAAAGTTTCAAATAAGAACTTGTTAATTAATAGTGGTCGATTTTTAGACCTCGTCGACCCCCAAAATCAGTTTTCGTGTATGTCGACCTCTGGGAAACCGATTTCGATTCCAAGGGGTCGGTATCGACCAGTTTAGGAATCACTGATTTAAGCCTTGGCTTTACACCAAACACACTTTTATCAATGACTAGTTGGGGATGTGTTGTTTTGTGGCGCCAATTTTGACATTTCGGCAGTAAGGCGGTTTTCAGTCTACCCGGTTAATTTTTATGAACGTGGCCAACTTAAAACATTATTTTGAGCTAAAAGTGGAGTTTGGCCATTTGCATCTTAGCAGTGAGCCGTTCACTATTGTTTTTGTCTGCAAAATAGCAATACAATTTGTATGTGGCCATTTACGTAAGCCACTTTTTTATGACATGAAATGTTAACCTTAACATCGCTTTTCAGTCTTGAAACTACTTGTATTATACATAAAAACAAACCATATTCTAATACTAACGCGACAAGTTGACAACTGGCTCATACCCAGATCTGAACTGGTAAAAGACTCAAGTCATTTATAATGGTATTAAAAAGTATAATTAATTTTCAAATATAAAATCGACGGAAGCAATTACATTTAAAAGACTGCTTAAGAATATGTTGGTGACGGAAGCCTATTATTCTTTGACTGAGTGTTACAATGACTTTAAATTGTGACTGTTTGAACGTACACATATTTTACTTTTAATATCGATATTTTGTTGTCTATTTGTAATTAACTTTTAATTTTATATTTAACGTTCTTCTATTTTTTTATTCATGTAATTGTTATTATTGCATATTAATGGTTTACTGTAGATTTGACAATAAATATACTCGTATATTGATTGATTGAAAGTACATGTTGAAATAGTACCTGCTCTTAGACCATAAGATCCATCCATAGATTGGACACACATGTTATAATGGTCACAACACAACCTTCCTTCTTCTGTGAATCGCCACTTTTGAGTGGACTGCCTTCTTGGATCAATTCGTCTCAACATTAGTTTAGAATAAGTATTTGGCTGTGCTGCAGTATTCTCAATATCCAGAACTAAAATACTATCGGGATTTCTAGTTTGGTTTGGATGCAACGGTGGGTTACTGCCTTCGTGTTCTAAATATCCTTCAGCAGTTATTCTCCATAATTGTGAACGTTCACTTATCATTTTTCGAGAAAGAATTACTCGATTGTGCTTTATGACGTCTAACACCAGTTCCTGGCTTTCCATTTCATTGGGATCGTGGACGCCTCTCGATCTAAAAAGGGGTTAAATCCAGAATAACATCAAAAAGCTTAAAAATAAAATCAATTACTTTTTAAATGTTCCTGTCATTGCAATGTAAATAAAATTTTCATAGGTTAATCCTGGAACTGATCCCAAAGTCGACATATTATAAGTATTCCAAACACCTCCAGGTCCAATAATTTTGATAGAATGACCTTTGGTCGGTTCGTCCCAAGCGTACGGCACGCTAGAATGTGCTCTCGCCGTGCTATGCATTATATCGATGTAACAACTTTGACCAAACATTATTGATACCTCAGAAAAATTATCTACTCGTATTGGTGGCGGTAAAGTATCAGCATCTGTGAATACAACGTAAAAAGTTGCTCCTTGTAAGACGACTTCCATACGAAGAAAGTATACGCCTCCTGTGGAATCTCTGCAAAAAAATTTTACGTAGGTGGTAAATTTATTACAATGAAATTGCTAATTTTGTAATAATAGCTCAAAATGTTTGACCTGAGTCATGTTAGCACAAATTCAGCCGGAGCTAAATGCACCAGAGGTCGAAAAATAATCTTTATAATAATTATTCATTCTAAATGTCAATATAAAGATTATGGCACCTTCAGTATGGTCGTAATTATTTTTATTAAACTTCTACAGAATTATAATAAGAAATATAAAGAGGATTTAGCTACAACATAATTATAGATAATAAGAAAACATTTTTTTTCATTACCATTTTAAATATTTGTGAAATAACGATTTTAGAGAGGGTTGAAATTTCAATATTTATGTTACTGGAACAAAATTAATTTTTTCTAAAATTACAGAGCCAATACAAAAACATTCATGAACACGTTGAATTATTTGTTTACAATAGTATAACAGATGATAGTAATATCTGACATCGTTGCCGTAGTAACGTGTTTTGAGTAGAAACAAAAAAGTGTTACTTACATTACTTTATGGTTATCATTGTTATCGTATTAGGACTTTAAAATGTTTATTTATAGGCAAACATAAAAAAATAGTTAGTGAATTAATGGTTTTTGTATTTCGTAAGTGTTTTTCAGCGTGTAATTAGATTATATATGATTTTAAAAAGGAAACTACCTAATATTAACGTGCATCGAATTATTGGTATCAATTTTAAGTCCACCGGACCAGCAACAATCTGGAACATCTTCTATCGACAAGCACAAAAGTTGTTCTTTTTCTAAATTCGGCCAGTGAAAAGGCATATGAGAATTTGCCATGGCTTTTAAAGAAGACTTCGGCAACTGGTCCCGAGCCTCTTTGGCATAGCAATATTGGGAGAAAAGTAGTTTGTAAGAAGTTCTGTTATGAAGTTGGTATCTTGGAGATATTGTTATGATATTTGTTGACCTATATTTTCCCCTCCCAGGTCTTACTTCTAAGCCAATTATGAAAACTATGTCTGGGCGAGCATCTCGAAGAGTAACGTGTAGTTTTCGATACTGGGTGCCTTTTTGTACGTGAAAATTAGCACACCACTAAAAATAAACATGAGTAGAATTATTGATCACATATCATCGGAGTTGCTGCTACTACAGCTATTTTTTCATTAGAAGCTAAAATAGATACAATAAGCAAATGACACTTACCTGGGGTGTTCCATCCCAAATAACTCTATTACCAACTCTGGCATTGATAGTAGGACTTGCACCCTGATCTGAGAAACTGAACATCATAGGATTCATCATTCTAGCTTGTTCGTGTTCATCAAATTGGCCTGCGCTTTCTACTGATGTACCAGATTGTCTAAAAATCAACAATTATTAGATATCAATTAATAATAATTAGACTTAATTTAATAATACATATTTTCTCAAAGTAGCTCATTTATGTACGGTGAGCATTATTTGACATTTTCTTATTTCTACTATTCATGGATATAAATAATGCACAATGAGCTGCCAGTACATAATTTTAAAATATATTTCTCAACAAGAAACACGACTAATGTAGTGACAATATTGGTGCTCCCTCCAACATAATCACAACATTTTCCAAATCGTTGGAGAAAACACACATTAGGTGCCTACACGTTCTCCAGATTTGACAACTTCAGACAACTGGATACAATTTTTTTTAGAAGCGTAATTTACTGTCACTACTGTTTGTTTTAAGTTTTTTTGGTTTGTATAATTTAGTGATGAATATTTAATTACCTAAAAACCAAGGGTAGTCCTGTTTTATTGATAATCCAGTAGTAAGCTGATATCAATATTTTTAATTTTGCTCCTTTATTTACTAACACTGTAGCTAAAAGATATAATTTTCTTTGGCGGTTATCTTCCAATTTAATACGACAGTTATATATGTTGGTACAACCCACTGGTACAATAACGCTATTGCAAGTATTGAAATTATCCAATTCAACTTTTAAATCAACGGTATCTGGATCAACCTAAAATATTCACAATTAAAATACTACAAAAATAATAACTTTAGTTAGGTTAGGAACGAGTGGTGCAAAATAATAAATATAGGTATACAGCACTCACCAATTACTCTGATGCATCAAATATTTACTAGGGTGAACATTTATCGTAGTAAGTTAACCTTCTGTTGTGACCTGCTGTTAATAATTTATTGTAGTGGTAGTTAATAAAATTCTATTACATTATATCCCGCCCAAACAAATGAGGTTGTTGGCTGTTGATCCAATTTAAAAATTAGTTACGTTTAATAACAGATGGACCCAATACTGTTGATGATATCAGCTACTTTGTTAGTCTTGAGTAAGGCATTTGATTGTGTTAATCACTCAATTCTCTTAGATAATCTACAATTTTATGGGATAAGAGGTGTCAATTGAACTTTTTTAAACATTACTTAGAAAATAAATATCAATAAAATTAATCAGTCTACCAAAATCAATATTCTTTTTGATTTACATTAATGGCCTACCAGCCTGTATTCAAGCAAATATCTGCATACATGCAGATGATACTATCCTATTTAAATCCGCAAAATTAATTCAGCATACCTAACACTAAGCTTATATTACCTTAAATCGAGTAACTGACTGGTTAAAAGCGAACAGACAAAACGTAAACAATTACTTTTTATTTATTCTTTGTTAAAATGGGGAAAAACATATAGATTATTTAACAAATAAAAAAAGTTGTTATTCAAATACGAAAATTAGTGGCAATTACATCACAGTAAATGACGAGTGCTGTAACATCTTGGATATTATTTGAGTATTACTCATATAAAATAAACTTTTTTTGATGAAATTTGTTCCAACCTCACTTAAGTGTACAACATAATTAATAATAATACATTATGGATAGTAGTACTGTTACTGGCTTTGATAAATCCTTTTTGTCCAGATATAGTGTAATGGATATCTGCTGGTAGTAAATTTTCAATAACAATTGCTGGACAGAGAAATATTGTATGAGCAGGTTGTTCAAATCGACTTCTGCAGGGTATTAAAACGCCTTGTCTCACAATTTCTGTATAAAACCTGTAACAAAATCAACTCATATTAATCCTATTTTTTAATTTGATTTAACATTAACAATTAGCACTCAATGTCTCACGTTAGTCAGCTCACCGCTTATAAAATAGTCTTATTGATGGTCTCCATTATTCATGAGCAAATACTACTCCCTCTTAAAATCACCAAAATTTGTTGTTGTTATGTTTCCTGCGCTAAGTGTGTCAATTACACATCCGTAAAATGTATATTTTCTACAAACTTAATTGGTAAATTATTTCGACTTCCAAAATTTATTTTTAATCTGTTAGGCCAAAACATTTGCAATTAAAGACGTGATTATATTTATTATAACAGGGAATATTAGCAAGGTAGTTATTCTAAAAGTACCCTCCAGTAATTGTATAACAACAAAAAGGGGCTATTTAAAAAAACTAATAAAATAATTTAACGCAATGACTTTGTGGATAGATATTTGTCTAGATCAGATTCTCCAAGTCACTGCGGAATAAGTGAAAATGAGGAGTAGATAAATTGTCCAAAAATGGCCGACTACAAATACTAAGGATTGATTCCAGAGTGCATCATAGTGAACTCTTGTCCTTTTTTAAATTCAATGGAAAAAATGAAAGGAAAGGTTAATGGGGATATTATTCAACTAAGTAACATTAAAGAGATGGGAAAATTACAAATTTAAACAGAAGTAATAAGTACCATAAGAATAAGAAGTGGACATTGTTTGAATATGGTATATCTCAAGAGGACAAGAATAAAGGAATGTGATAGTTGTGGAGAAAGGGAAGACATACCTACAACATATTATTTTCTTTGTCAAAATAACTTTAAAAATATTAATACGAGTATATTAATAATATTATCTTTACAATACAATATCATCTTTCAGAAATATAAAAATATATATACATAAAAATGAATGCATATGTCTAGTATTAAGCTGTAAAATAGTGTATTATTTTAAGACTTGTTACAAACGGATGTATCATTTTAGAAATGTAGGCCAAAAAACATTCAAAAAAATGTAATTTTGTTTTTGAAAGTGAGTGTTTATGTTTATAATTTGATTTGACTATTATGGAGATTTGGCAAAGGACAAAACATACTCCCGCCGAGACTCGATGACAGTTGTTCAAAGCAAAACCGACAGAAGGTAATTGTTGTAACCAAACCAGTTTTAGATAGGGTTGGGATAATAAAAAGATTGTTATAAATAGATAGATAATTAGATAAATTGTTTCGAAAATTTCTAGCTTCAAAAGACCCGAACTTTTTTCGCGCGAGAGTAATGCGAAATAATCGACTTTCTGCTGAATAGTTATCAGATTGGATACATTGCAAGAAATTTGTTCTCGTTATTTTTCCCCATGTTTTAGTAATCGTAAAAAATACTTATATAATTATTAAAACTAATAAATACCTCGTCAACTTGAATACATTTCCGGAATAATACCTATCCCATAAATTGACATTTCTCAAAAATTACCTGTAACTTTGGCCTTTGTGAGAATGACAAGTGCTCATTTGGTACATTCTGTCATAACCATGCGGCATTTGTGTCCATGTTAAACTAGGAACGGAGTAGGTGTATTGTTGCGGAGATTGTGCTGCAGGCCTGATATTTATTTGCGAATGGGCATGATCTAATGGAATAGCCAATGTTGCGTTTGTGTCAACTGTAAATGATTGAGTACCGACCCAAAATATATTGGACACCACATCGTCACTGGGAAGTTTGCTTTCCAATTTAACATCTATTGCTTGAGGAAGGTTATTAACAAGAAGTAGAGCAGAACGAATAACTACTAATTTTCTAGCGGATCCTTCCAAGGTTACATCGAAGACAATTCGTGTGTGTGGTAAATCAGAGGTCTGAAATAATAATTGATGGACTTAGAGTTGTTTGACACGTGGAAAAGTGTTAAAAAATGAGGATGAAACATTTTTTTCATCATAATACAGAGTCCCCATTAGTAGGGTGGGGGTGTCAGTAAAAACCGTCGATTACGTCATTACGCAAACACTGATGATGTAACGTTTTTTATTCGAATGTGCGATAAAACGGCGTTTTTAGGAGAGAAAACATAATCGAAAAGAAGAACTTTTAAATATACTTCAAATGAACTGCTTAAAATACTTCTACGACCGAGGCCGCAAAAGTAAAGCGGCTCTGCTATCTAAACAATCTGTTTTATTTTCAGTTTACCTTTTAATACTGCTGGCAATAATTATATTTGCTATTGTAAAATAGTTGTTCTTAATCCAAATGTAACATCAAATTTGAAACGAAGCAGTTTTAATTGAATAAGACAATAACTAAATAAACTATAATTAAACTGATATGTCACATAAGCACACTGATATGAGCAATTGTTCAATTGTTATCAGGAATAAACCTAGCTAATAGCCATCTCAGTTATAAGAAAAATTTAAATTAATACTATCATTTCCGATTAAATTTTCTATAAATTTTTAATATCTATAAGCACATTCTAATAAAAATAATGTATGAACACGGACGAAAAGTGTATTTTCGGAATCTTACTTCTCGTAGTCGCCCGAAAAACTCCAACTTTTCGTCCTTATAACATAAACTACTATTATATGTATACTTCAAAAATTAAAGTTAACATATTTTAGGATTTTTTTCAAGTCGTCTATTTTTCAAATAATTAATTTACTCCATACATTTGCCTCAAACCGTATAAGGAAAATGTTTTGATTATTAATTACAAAGAACAAAAAAAAAAACACTTACCCGTGTTTTAAATTCAGCACATGTATCCCTAAAATAAACACCGACTCTGTCAACTGTAACTGGTTCTAAACAGTTCCAACCATCAACTTTAACTTTTAGTTGGTGCATGCGCATTTTATGAGAATTTTGATGTCTCATTTTATCTGAAACAAAAATTACAAAAATATATTGATACTTTTTAAGTAAATATGTTATTTACCTCGAGCAGTAAAAGAAAAAGGTACAAGTTCTCCTGGATTTACACTAACCCAATTTTCATTTACATTACCAATAATCGTAGAACTGTAATTATTTAGTTCGGATACATAAGTTGTGAATTGTAATACCGCTCCAGTTAGATTTTTTAAAGCAAATGGAATAAATGGCGATCTTTGTCTGTAGTTTGAAGTACTTTTATATAAGTTCTCTTTTGTATTAAAATCTTTCAACCAATTTAATCTTACTTGTTCGAAAAGTTCTATGACAGTTGAAGTTATGTTGACATTTAAGTTTTCACAAGATTCT